ACTTAAAATTTGGGTATAAATATTAAGAATTTTAAAACTATATTTTCAAAATAAAAATAACAATATATTGCCACAAAAAATACAGCTTTGTACTTTAAAAATATGCGTTTTTGCCTCCTTAATCCATATCTACAACAATATTTTGAAAAAAGTCAGTTTTCACGCAAATATTTTACTTTTCATCATGCGCTATCACACTTACGAAACACGTGCAGTTTAAGCCACGACTAACTTCCAGTCAAAACCAGCGCGCGAGTGCATCCGATAAGAGGCCAGGACGGGTTGTCTATTGTTCTCTAGTCATTCGAGAACTAAAAGCACATTTTTTTTAATTAGCGACAGCTTCTTATAATTTGATTTTTGACCGACTAAATCAGCAAAATACCCGTATGCCATATTTCATTAGTTAACTGAATAATCGTGAGGTCAAATCTATCAAAACTGCAAATGAGATAAATAGGGTAGTTGACCCACAGCCGGCGAGGAATCGACTAAATTTCGGCTTTTTACAATAGAAATATATATCGTGTAAACAAAAGAGATGCATTAATGCATTAATAGTTGATCGCTGACTGTTCACTTTGCCACAGAGAATGTCGCTGCGCGACAAGAGCTATTATAGTTAATACTCGCTTAGCTAAACTTGCCGAGCGATGCTACTTGGCGGTTAAACGCATGTATGTGTATTTGCCCCTGCGAATCCGTCGGCCTAGGCATGTCTTAGAGAACCCCGACCACGAAATCACTCGCGCCAACGCGCCTCCGACTCCTCCCACACAGGCCACAAACACCGCCCTCTAGTTGATCCCCCCCCCCCCCCCCCCCCCAGGTTCAAGTGGTATAGAGGCTGCAGACGGAGAGGAGACCCCCCGTAGGGATAGGCCATCCGCCTGGAATACCTCTAGAGGCTCTCGCCATTTCTCGTGACGCTATAAAGGTCAACCAACAGCATATACGTACACAAAAAAAACGTGTATATTAGCTCAGGAGGACTCCATGAGCGAGTGGCGCGAGTAATTGTCCGTCGTACTCGCACACTCGCTTATAGCCAACTCGTGTCTAGTTTCTAGCTGTACTTGCTTCTCGTTCATCCGCTTCATAATTGTCCCACACAAGTGCCTTATTTCCCATTGAATTGGAGGGCCTTGCCTTATAAAAAACACACGCTCAAACAAAAATTACATTTTGGTGGTGTTGTGATTCTGTAGGCGAATAAGGTTTCGCTCCAGAGCTTCATGTAAAGGGTGGCAGGAAGTTCGGATGTCCGGACGTGTACCTATAGGTACCTTTGTCCGGTTTTTAACCGGATTCCATAATCGTCCGAATATTTTTAGCTTAATCTAATATATAAAATTCTCGTGTCGCGGTGTTTGTGGTTAAACTCCTCCGAAACGGCTCGACCGATTCTCATGAAATTTTGTGTGCATATTGGGTAGGTCTGAGAATCGGACAACATCTATTTTTCATCCCCCTTAATGTTAAGGGTAATCCACCCCTAATTTTTTTTTTTCAATTTTAGATATTTTTTTTATTTTTTTTATGATACATTAAACAAAAATACATACAACCCTAAATTTTCACCCTTCTACCACCAACCCTTATTTTTTTATGGCGGTACGAAGTTTGCTGGGTCAGCTTGTAATAAAATAAAGTAATGTGAAATTAGTAATTTATTAATCAAATCCGCCAGCGGCCCCTCCCATCAGTGTACATGTTTGTTGTTACTAAGATATCCGGTCCGGTTTTTTTTACAGTCTGTATTATTTTTGTGATTTTTCAATTTCTTTATTCACCCTTGCCACCGATATGACGATGGTGGGTTTCAAACACATTGACAATGCTTCATTACATTAACGACGGCGTGGCTTGCCGCGTGCATGTGCATGCATTCCACGTGCGCATGGTGGCTTTGCCAGTGTGGCCAAACAACTACCTCGCATTTCCCGCAAATCTCCGATTTGCACCCCATAATTCTGATTATAGTCAAAATCCCTCAAATAAAATTGGTCAAGAGCTAGCCGTTATCACACACACAGGGTTCTATACCATTGTGTTACTATCGTACAAGACTTTACTCTAAAAAATTGGCGATTGTTATGGAAATAAATCGTTCCAAGAAATATTTTTTTAATTTTTTATAAATATTTCAAACACATTTGACGTTTGCTTAAGATCTAAATAAATCGTTTCAAGGAATAGTTGGTGTTTGCTATGGAAGTAGACAAATTGTTCCAAAGAATATTTAACGATTGCTGAGGAAATAAACAAATCGTTGCAAAGAATATTTGACTACTGCTTTATAAAAATGGCACGACCGAATTGCTAATGTCAATTAGCAATGTGTTTTTTTAGAAAATATAAATCCTCCCGTTTCTCTAAACACAGATTGTTCTCTTTAAATATCCACCTCAAAGTATCTTTATTCAAATTGGAAGTATGATACTTTGAATTCAAATATTTTGATTGCCTAAGATTATTCCCCTCCGCCCACATCGCTTTAAAAACCTCCCAAATTAAGGGGAAATCTCCCCAATAAGATATCAGTGCATCGTCGCGTTCAATGTGTCATATTCGGCAACTGAACTAACTGTCCCCTGAGGTCTGTGACCCGCGACGTGCGCGCGCGGCGTTCCCCACCTAATTAGGCGATCTTACTTAATAAAACGTCCTGTCAAAATTTTAATCGCTTCCACATGAAATATAGTATTTTTAAGGGTCAACATCAGCATATTAATGTAAACGCTGCAGGGGACAATGGCCATTCCTGCACTAAGCATATCAATCACACACCACTTTCAGAAATAAAACCGTCTTGTAATGAAGAAAATGATTCAATACAATTACTTATATCAAATTAATTACGTCCTATTATTGTCCCCACTGCTGTCCCTACGCGGGACCTTAATGGTTAAAGACTGCAAATACAGGCGGGACCTTATCGGTTAAGGATTACAAATACAGGCGGGACCAACATTTCAACGTGCCTTTCGAAGCACGGAGGGTCTTGAGATAATAAGTTTTTGGTCACCCATCCAAAGATCGGTAATGGGGCGCAAAGGTTAGCGCATTTTGTTTGCGATTGTAAAAGTATTATTTTTGCAATGGCTGGTCTTAGTAACTCATCTTCTGTTACCCTCGGTATTTATAAATAAAGCGTATTTTATAAAATACACTGACCTGCAAAGCTAAGTATCACGTTTCTAAAATTTCAATATTTTCTAAACTACAGAAGTTTAAAGCAAATTTTATCAGCTTTCTAAGAAAGTGTAGCTTAAAAAAATAAATTCTTTTTCGAGTCGTTTTTATTCCAAAAGTATATCTTGTATACTTAAAAAGTTATTGGAATTTTAAAAGTGTCATACTTAATTTTGCAGGCCAGTGTGGATACAAGATTTATGCAAAAAGTTACCAATAGGGAGGATGACTAATTTTTTTTCTTCGTTTATCAAGTAGATTATCAAAAAGTATTGGACACGTATTTTTTCTTTTTTCACATAATATAAATATTGCAGAGATATATTGATTTGTAAAGTCGCATGACGTCACGTTTTGGTACAATTTTCACCTATAAGTGATGGCACGAGCCCCTACTCCCAAACTTTGACGCACTATAACTTTGTCATTTTTTGGTTGATTGCCCAAAGAAAAAATACGTGTCCATTATTTTTTGATCATCTAACTGACGGACTAAATAGAATTTCGTTTACTGTACCCCGTCATCACCCCTATTCTAATCACTTGTGTTACTAATATTATCGAGTATATATTTTTGCCGCACTGTTCTCATTTTTTTTAGGGTCGGCGCAATATCTCTTCCTTTTCCGTATATTATCTCGGTAGCTTCGTCTCCACATTTTATTCTATTTTATGTTACTTGGAGCGTTTACTCTCAATCTGTATTTCTATTTTACATGGTCTTTCTGTAAATTGAAGGTGTTCTCCTTGTTACATGTTTCAGTATATTTGTAAACTAACGACCGCCCGCGTCTCACAAAAAATCTCTCAGGAACCTAACACTTTTCTGGTATAAAAAGTATCCTATGTCTCAATCCAGGTCCTAAACTATATGCGTACCAAATTTCACCCAAATACGTTCAGTAGTTTATGCGTGATTGAGTAACAAACATACAAACTTTCACATTTCAATATTAAGTAGGATGTTAAGTGTAATCGATTACCTTAAACCACCTGATGTTAAGTGTAAATGTAGACCAATTGGTCGCTTCTTAATGTGATTGATATATGAGGTACAGGTCGTACGTGAATCAAGCGCTAAACAAAACGCGATATCTACGCATGGGTACGACTGGAGAGCCAATCGGCGCAACGCACGCCCACCCGCGCACCTCGTTTACCCCCAACACATCCTAATTTTTACTTCTGCGCAATAACGGTCCGCGCTAGAGTTCGTGCCGCGACTTATATATACTTGGTTATCGGGCTCACTCAGAGTCCTCTATTAAATATTATACTTCGTTACGTCACGTGTTGTGTTATTCCCATAGTTTCACAAATAAAGTGATCAACATCAACTGCAATCAACCTTAAAAGTAAATTGACGTTTGTAGAGTCCGTGAAAGCTTTTACTAAATGCCTAGAGATAGCTCAGTAATATTAGGTAGTTATGACAAAAAATAAGATTCACAAAGTGACAAAAGATAAGATTAAAAAACTGGACTCGGATTATGTCAAAGCGACCGACAGTCAACTCGCTTGCGCTCGGCCACGCCCGTTTGCGAAATGTAAAAAGCCTAACAAAATCCGGACAATCCCGGACACCGTTTATTTTGGCCGGACACGCGAACAAAAAGCCTATGTCCGGTTTTATCCGGACACCTGGCAACGGGCAGGATAACGTTTGCGATTTTAACATTCTTTCACCATTAGTAAGCTACATAATTCCTTTGTGAAAAATATGTTTTACAAGTCAATAGTTCTTTTAGTACATCAATAGTTATTGTAAACATAAGAACTCAAGCAAAAATGTTATCTATCTCCAGGCGAAAAGGCTCAACGGCAATGGCGAGCTGGCCGCCATCAAGGTGATAAAGTTGGAGCCGGGTGATGACTTCGCGATCATCCAGCAGGAGATCCTCATGATGAAGGACTGTCGCCACCCGAACATCGTCGCGTACTACGGCTCGTACCTGAGGAGGGACAAGCTTTGGATCTCCATGGAGTACTGCGGGGGAGGTAGTTTACAGGTAATCTTGATATTTTATTAATATCATCAGCCTATTTATATCCCCACTGCTGGGCACAGGTCTTCCCAATAGATAGAATACCTAGAGAACCTGACGATGAAGACATCGTCGCGTATTATGGCTCTCATCTGAGGAGGGACAAGCTTTGGATCTCCATGGAGTACTGCGGGGGAGGTAGTTTACAGGTAATCTTGGATATTTTATTAATATCATCAGCCTATTAATATCCCCACTGCTGGGGCACAGGAGTTCCCAATAGATAGAATACCTGGAGAACCTGACGATGAAGACATCGTCGCGTATTATGGCTCTCATCTGAGGAGGGACAAGCTTTGGATCTCCATGGAGTACTGCGGGGGAGGTAGTTTACAGGTAATCTTGATATTTTATTAATATCATCAGCCTATTAATATCCCCACTGCTGGGGCACAGGTCTTCCCAATAGATAGAATACCTGGAGAACCTGACGATGAAGACATCGTCGCATATTATGGCTCTCATCTGAGGAGGGACAAGCTTTGGATCTCCATGGAGTACTGCGGGGGAGGTAGTTTACAGGTGACTCTGGGCATTTTATCATCATTATCAGCCTATTAATATCCCCACTGCTGGGGTACAGATCTTCCCTATAGATGGAATACCAGGAGATCCGCATGATGAAAGACTGTCGACACCCGAACATCGTCGCGTACTACGGGTCGTACCTGAGGAGGGTCAAGCTTTGGATCTCCATGGAGTACTGCGGGGGAGGTAGTTTACAGGTAATCTTGGATATTTTATTAATATCATCAGCCTATTAATATCCCCACTGCTGGGGCACAGGTCTTTCCAATAGATAGAATACCTGGAGAACCTGACCATGAAGACATCGTCGCGTATTATGGCTCTCATCTGAGGAGGGACAAGCTTTGGATATCCATGGAGTACTGCGGGGGAGGTAGTTTACAGGTAATCTTAGTTATTTTATCATCAACATCATCAGGCTATTAATATCCCCACGACACAGGTGGATGATCACGACTGCAGATGCAGCCGGACTTAATGTGCCGTCCGCAGCACAAGGGTGAGAGAGAGATAAGTTTTTGGTCACCCATCCGATGACAGGCTATTGTGAAGCAAAGCGTTACGAGCTTGCGTCATCGAAAACCAGAGATTTTTAGGTATACAGTGATCTAATTATCTGGACGATCTCCATGGTGTGAGTGGTATGTTCGCCGGTTTACAAGATGTTGTCACCTATTCGAGAGGTCATGGGTTCTAATCCCAATGGTGCTGTAGGAAGGCCAAAGGGGAAAATCTTCCTCCGAGCTGGATGATGGTGGCTCGGGGGCCGCGGCCCGACTGATGTTGGTCGGGCATCGTATATATGAACTGTTGGCTGCCGAATTTCAATTGCGTGATGTAGGCTTCCTTACGTTGTGAGCGCAGCGCCGGTAGCGCCACCTCTTGAGGAGGCGAGTGATTATTTCCTCCATGTTAGTTATATGTGGGGCATGTAGATGTCGCCGCCACAGTGCAAATGTTTGTATGATGAAAACGAGTAAACATATATGTATTTGTATCCGTTACCCAAGTGTCAAGTAGCACAATCATTACAATGCTTTCTTTGGTGCTAAGTTAATAGGGATTTTTGGATTTATTCGGGTGCGGTAAAATAACACAGGGAGGCAACCTTGCACCTTGTAAAGTACTCGCACCAAACCTGGGCCCTCTATGCAGAACTGAACGTCTAGGGCAAGTTTTATCAATCTATCTATCTAGGGCAGCAAGAAAAAAATTTCATGGCCATGTCTTTTGGTCGCGTCCAAGTCAGTATTTTGAATAGGAACTGGAGGTATCAGCACTGAAACCTACTTTATTTTAACTCAGACGCCTGTGTATAACTTCACAACTGAACTGTGCTTCGTTCCAGGACATCTACCACGTGACGGGTCCGCTGACGGAACTGCAGATAGCGTACATGTGCAGGGAGACTCTCACGGGGCTGTCCTACCTGCACAGCATGGGGAAGATGCATCGGTTCGTACTTGTTATGTTCCATTAAATGAAACAAGAGTAATCATTCATTTATATCTTAGCGGACCCGACAGACGGTGTCTTATCAGATAAAAATGGTAGAAAGTGACAGAAGTGTCACCTAACAGGTAGAGTCGTAAGTTAATTTTTCACAAATTTTCTGCAACATTTTTGATTATTTTTTCCGTAAGAACCTTTAAAAAAATGTTTTAAAGTTATGGCGGGACCAATTGAAATATGTAGATGCTAACATCATAAAGAATGGATTCTTATCCTTATCATAAGGTAAAATGCAAAGCAGGAAGTCTATTACAAGCTTCAAACTTCTGCAATTTGCGTATAACCTGAGGCCCTGCCAGAATATCAGCGCCGCCGCGGCTCTATGGCTGTGTCCCCAGTAAGCAAACTGTCAGCGGCCGACTGAGTGAGCCGCAAATTTGCAGCGAACTGAAATTTGAGTTAGCTGCAGACTCAAATCAATTTTCGTGCGTCGCAAGCAAACTGTTAAGAGTTAGCCGCTTATTTAGCCGACCGACTTAATTATCACTTTACTTTTGTTGTACGAAGGGAGTGGTTGTGTTGGTCACGATGGATATTTTTGAAGTAATTGGTATCTTAGAAGCGCTGAAAGAGGATAAAAGGAAGCACTGGGTTCACCCATTATACAAGAAAAGGTTGAGCATTGGACAATTTCACACTCTTTATCCAGAACTAAGGAAACATCCAGAAAAATTTTACGACTATTTCAATATGACTTCTCATACATTTGATGAATTGTTGAAATCTATAACCCAGTACATAGCTAAAAATAATATCACAAGAGATACATTATGTCCCGAAGAACGGCTTACTATAACTTTGAGGTAAGTAAATAATTAACGCTTTAGGATTTTAAAAAAATATGTTATTTTTATTGTAATACAAAGTCACTTTCGCATTTATAGTTTTTAATTTAACAATCACTTTTCAAAGTTACTGTATTATTAAATTGAATTAGGAACATATATGGTAACATTAAGTTGGTAACCTGTCATTCCTCATCTTCAGTGTGGTTTGAATCGCCTCGCAATATTGCTTCTATGTCTTCTATTTCCGCTGAAGAACCTGTAGAGCTATGTGATGGACTGTTTCGAGGGTAGTTTTGCACATTTGGTGTACTGCTGCTTCCACTCGCATAGCCATACTGATGTGGGTACTGGTAGGCATTCGTCCATCCAGTTTGCATCATACCACCGTCATAATTATTATGTACACTATATTTTATATTTTTAATAATTTTCATCACTTCGAACCGAAATTCAAAATTCTGTGTTGGGGACATTGTCTTCATTTCCGGTAAAATATTTAGTAGAAAGTTCATATCTGGATCGTTTTCTCTTTTTTTTTCCATCGAGTTAATTAGGGCTTCTTGAAACACAGTCATCTTTTTTGGTCTACTGACATTAACTACCGAGTCAGTAGAATCATTTTCATCTAAAATAGCGCTACTGTCGCTAGACGTCTCGGCGCTAATATTGCCAGATGTCTGGTTGCTAGCTCTAGAAACATTTAAAAACTGTAACATGTCCAAGTATGGTGTCTTGCGTTTTTTTGTTGCGCCACTTCCGCTTTTGACTGAGGAATCCTTATTTTTTTCTCTGGTGTGATAGTCGCGCAAACCCTTCCATTTTTTTTGTAGGTCTTTTACTGAAACAGAAATAATCGGTAGTTCAATATTCTTTCCAGATTCTTGTCAAGTGGACTAAGTTACAGAAAAATTGCACAAGAGTTTCTTGTTGGAAAATCGACGGTATCGAAAATAATAAGTGAAACTGCATGCATTATATGGGATATTTTACAGCCACAGGAAATGCCGGAACCTTCTGAAGAATTGTGGCTAGAAATAGCAAAACGATATTATAAAAAAACCAACTATCCTAATTGTATAGGATCTATCGATGGCAAGCATATCCGTATTAGAAAACCACCAAAAAGTGGGTCTAACTATTTTAATTATAAGAAGTTCTTCTCAATTGTTCTGTTAGCCGTAGCAGATGCAAACTGTTCTTTTATAGCTATTGATGTAGGTGCTTGCGGACGAAATGCTGACAGTAATATATTTAAAGAAAGTGGTTTTGGCAAAAAATTGGCGTGTGGGTCTCTGAAGATTCCTAACTCAACTAAATTGCCTAATTCAAATGGATTGCCCCAACCTTTAGTGTTTCTTGGAGATGAGGCATTTGGATTACAAAAGCATATCTTGAGGCCTTTTCCTAATAAAAGTTTAAATAAGGAAGAGCGAATTTACAATTATCGTCATAGTCGAGCTAGGAGATGCGTGGAATGTGCATTCGGCATCCTAACAAGCAAATGGAGAGTTCTGCATACACCGATCGCTACTAATGTGAATACAACCATCGCTATCGTAAAAGCCGTTTGTATTTTACATAATTTTGTCATAGCAAGAGAACAAGCACAATATGCACATATTTCGCGACGTACCTCAACAACTCTTACAAGTTCAAGGAGCCAAATTATTACTGTATCAAATTCTGGAAAAACAACAAGAGAAAACTTTAAAAACTATTTTCTTAACGAAGGAAAGCTATCCTGGCAAGAGAAATATTTGTAAGTTGTAGCTACAGGAAGAAATAGTGTAACGGAGTGTGTAAAGCCGTAAATACTATGTAAATTATGATACTTTGTTTTATGTAGTGAGTGATACAAGTATATTGTTGAATAAATAATAAATTCATTAGAATGGAACTTACTTCTTTTTTGTTTAGTGTTTTCTTCTAAGTTTTGCCAATCATCGTATATAATTTCAGCGACTTCATTCCAATTGCTCTGCTTTAATACTCTGTTGCTGTATTCTTCACTCGACATGTTCCATATGCATGGTCTATTCTGTATTTCACTAATGAACCTTTCCGTATCAAAGGACATCTTGGATTTTCAGTGATGTGTGTGTGCGTTGAGATTAGTTAGGTGCGATGCAAAAAAACACGTCCTAACACGATGATAGCTTTTTTCCAACTATCCGAATAATCAGTTTGAGTCACTACGCCCGGCGAACAACCAATCGCCGCCGCCGACTGGAACCGGTTTTGGTGGGAGTCGGCCGCTCACTAAGATAGTCGGCGCGCGTAACGCTGCAAACTGCGTACAGTGAGCGCAAAACTAGCAAACTGTGAACACTCCATTTGAAATATATGGAAGGGCGTACTAAACCGATACGCCGCTAACTCAGTCGGCCGCTGACAGTTTGCTTACTGGGGACACAGCCTATCACGGTAATATTATCTATACAGTATTGTGACTTGGCCCTGCCCTTGAAATAACTGCCTACGGCCGAGCGGGGCGTATCCACGTGGTAGGGCTGCCCGCCTACAGTATTTTAATTTCATCTACCTACATAATTGAGTTTCTTTCTAGTTTTGTAATTGTAAATATTTTATTTCATATGTAAAAAAATATGAATGAATTAGGAAGTGTTTCATAAAATATATGTTATTTTAAGTGTAATATTTAATAAAAAAAATACTTAGATTTGAGACAGAAATATATTTACGCCTCGACGTGCGAACGTCTTCCGTACGAAAAGCTTTATTATTGAATTTAATAGTATAATAAATACGCATTCGTATAAAAAGTTTAATTATTGAAGAGTTCAAGCAACCAAAAACAGCACAATATCGATTGCTCTTTGCCTTATTAAATTATATAGGTATCTACTTAATTCAATCAAATATTCACAATACAAACGTTTAAGCACGGCTAACTGCTTAAAAAACAATTCACACCGTTCGGTCGTCGCTGCGGCGCATTCGCGACTGGATGCCCACTGGATGCCGCGCGAACTCGGGTGGCGTAGGTATGACACGCTTTCCGACCGTTTGTATGAAGATAGAATACTGTATAGATAATATTACCGTGGCCCTGTCGTTGCTATGGCACTATGCTTAAGCAGAGACCTAGTTGGCCTTTTTTTTGTTATTGCTTTTGTTTTTTATTTTATGCATAATAGGCAATGCGTTTGACCACAATCTCACCTGATGGAAAGTGATGATGAGGCCTAGGACGGTACACGCCTGCCTAGAAGATGCCTGTTCACTCTAGCCTTGAAGATGTCCAGATTATATCATCATCATCATCAACAGCCTATCCTAGTCCACTGCTGGACATAGGCCTCTCCAATTGCACGCCACTCAAATCGATCTTGGGCTACTCGCATCCAGCTCCTGCAAACCTTGCGCAAATCGTCACCCCATCGTGCCGGAGGACGTCCTACACTACGTTTGCCTAGACGCGGTCTCTACTCCAGAACTCGTCTACCCCAACGGTTATCGGTTCTTCGGCAAATATGGCCAGCCCACCAGATTATATTGGTCCGGGAAAACAGACCTCGGCAAGGAGTTCCACTCCCTAGCCGTTCGCATAATGAATTAATAGCCAATATTCACCGGCGACCGAAACGTGTGACGTCACAGAGCTCGATCGTGGTTCACTCCGGTCGAACTTCAGTAGCGTCTTTACACATGCTCGCGCCCGAGCACTAGAGCTCTGTGACGTCACAGACACCACGTGACCAGCCGAAAATTCGTTTAGTAATTTGGTCATAACTTCGTCAATATTTGTCGTAGAACAAAAATTTAATAACTGTATTTTATGAAATCCTTAGCTCTATAAATCTGCATTCTCAATTAATATCGTTATGGATCATCATTAAGAACTAACAAACGTTAACATAGTCGGAAGCTGCGGTGGCGCGATCAAACGCTAACGCGAGAACTTCGCGCAGGTACACAAACGTCAAACGATACAATGTGACATTACATTGTATCGTTTGACGTTTTAATAACAGTCGTGTGACGTCACACACCAGTGAGACGCCACATTGTCCAGAGAAACGTTTTGGCGGCAACTTGAAAATTTAGTTTTTGATTTGGTTATTTTTACTGAAATACACAACAGAATGATGAATATCCACCTTTTACGGACTCCATAAACATTAGTCAATAACGTGAGATCGTTTTCTAAAACTTGTCAAATGCCGTATTATGAAAATAAAACGATAAATTATGGAGCAGCAAAAGTGGCGTGACCAATTAGTTAGTAGTCAATATATTCGCCTGGATAGCGAAAGACCTTGTTCGAAGCCAACCGGACACGTTGACAGAGTTCTTTATTATGTAGTAAAATATTCTCTTAATTGCTAAAGAGTACACTTTTAGAGGTCAACCGCAAGCTAACTTTGTTTTGTTTTGTTCCTGCTACAGTGATATAAAGGGCGCCAACATTCTGCTGACCGAATGCGGCGACGTGAAGTTAGCCGACTTCGGAGTGTCAGCTCAGATCACAGCAACAATCAACAAGAGGAAGTCTTTCATAGGCACCCCGTATTGGATGGCACCGGAGGTAAGTGTGTATACTTTGCTTTTTCAGAAATAAAATAAACGTAATATTGCTTTTTAGTAGAAGATGTCTCTCTCGTTGAAAACCTTGCGTCTGTATCCTAAGTTATTTCAAAGGTCACAAATAATATTTTTTTTTCACCATTATTTAGATCTTCATAGTTCCGACGATGTTCACATCTACTAAAAAATTGTAGGGTGTAAAATTTGGAATAAGTTTTGTTGCGACAATTTTTTTATGCGCTCAACCGTTCTTGAGATAGCCACTGAGGGTGGTGATTACATAGAAGGGTGAGCATAGACCGTTTATACGGGAACCGATGTCGTCGGCTCGTCCTCACTACATTTCCACATAATAGATAATAGCCAATCAAACGACATCAAACAATCGGACTAATCAGCGTTCACACCCGAGAGCAACGACGCAATCAGAACCAAGTTTTGGTCAAGTTATGAGCATTTGCTCACACATAACTGTGGTGCGCCTGCCCCGACCACAAGGTCCTTCTAACCTATTTCTGTGTTCTTTGGTGAAAGCTATATATCATTCATACTATATCATCTTCTATCACATAATTTGAAACATACAATTTAAATACTGATTCAGTCACATAGATTGAGAATTCTGTGTTATATTTCGGTCAGATCATCAGGCATGTTGATCCACTATTGACGACCTCCGTGGCCGAGTGGTTTGTACGCCGGGTTTCATGGTGTCGCCGTCTCGAATTTTTTTGTCCGGGTTCGAATCCCGGTGGGGGCAGATATTTGTGTGATGAATACGAGCATTTGTACTCCAGTCATGAATGTTTAAATATGTATTTCTATATAAATATACCTATATATGTACAGTATTATGTATTCTATCCGTTACCCTAGCATCCCATGACTAGGGATGCAAAGTCTTTTGTAATATCGATATTTATATCGAAGTCAGGAAAATATCGATATCCGATATATCGACCATTTTAACTCGATATTATCGATATATCGATATTTTTTCTTTTTTTTTTGCTTTGTATTAAGTTTGCAAAGCAAAAACCTATAATTAAGGAAGCAAAGGTTTCCGAAATATCGATATTTATAATGTGGGCAGGTAAATATCGATATCCGATCCGATATATCAGCCATTCCAACATTTCCAACACGATATTTTCTATATTTTTATATCTCTGTAAGAAGTATCAAATCAAAAGCAATTTCGAATCAAACATATTTATTTTGTTTAAAATGTTTGCACGCAGCCAAAATCAGAATAGATAATCATATGAAAAACAATTGTTATGTATTAGTAAAACCTACACATCAGGGGCGTGCCTATTTCTTCAGAATAGGGTAAGCCCAAAGCTTCCAAAATTACTATACCTATCTTACTTTCTTGACTTGGCGAGCTTAAAAAATTTACGATTGTATAAGATTCTTAATTTTATTTTGTGTTATATTACAATGATATTAAATTTTAATTAATCAGTAGTTGACAATTATCTAGAAAGAGAGGCAAGTATTTTATTTAAATGCATGAGTTACCATTAGGTATACGATTATACCTATATACGTTGATGTCGATTCTGGCATGATTATCTAAACTTAAAACTAAATTAAAGGAAACATCAGTCTCCTTTTCATTCTGTATAGAGATGACAAGGATACACTGTTGTTAAATTTAATTTTAGGTTTAGAGAATCATGCCAGAATCCACACAAGTTTAGTATATTTCTTGGGGTCCTAGATTTTTTAATACATCTATAAGCTCTTGCGATTTCAAAGCAATAGTTATTTCGATATTATTCAATTTAGATAGTCATAGCTGGTAAATCAATTGATATTATTGTGTTTAAATTTAGTCTACGAAATATCGATATTTTGGAATTTCCGATATCGATATTATCGATATCAGTGTATTTTAAATATCAATATAAATATCGATATTTTGGTCTCGATATAATCGATATTATCGATATTCCGATATATCGTTGCAACCCTACCCATGATACAAGACTTACTGTGCTTACTTTGGGGCTAGGCGAATTGAATCGTTTAATTACCAATGGGAATAAGTAACCATTTTTCCGATATGGCAATTTTAATACAGTTTTTAATATTATTGATTGCTATATGGCTTGTTTTTATAGCGAGGTAGGCAAATGACTCTACTCCACCTGATGTTAAGTGGTGATAAAGTCCAAACGCGAAGATAGCTGGTACAGCAGTTATAAACTGCCACACCAACCTTCCTCACCTTGCCGGCCTGCAAAAATGTTTCTTCACGCCTCTCTTAAAGGACCGCAGATTGTGGGAAGGAGGGAACACGTGCGCGGGTAAAGAATTCCACTTGCGAATAGTACGACAATAGTGGCCACAGTAAGTCGGTGGCAACGTAGGTCTGCGCGCGTGATCCTCTGAAGAAAAGGGGATGGAGGGATAAGGGAGAATAACTTAGGGCTTGCAAGAAATATCGTGTCATCGTGGATATAATATGGATATTATATTATGTATTTTCTTCTTTTAGGTGGCGGCCGTTGAGAGAAAGGGTGGTTACAATCAACTCTGTGATATTTGGGCGTGCGGTATCACCGCTATAGGTGAGGAAAATCTTTTATAATCATGTATTTACTAGTATTTGTTTTGTGTGATTGTAGCCTTTTTTTAGGAACTTTATTTAAGGGTAACTTTGAGAAGAATTGCTGAACAGCAAAGTTTAATACGCAAACGCTTGAAAGTATTTTTAAAAAGTCATATGATTTTTTTTCTCTAATCTACCAGAATTAGCGGAACTCCAACCGCCCATGTTCGAACTGCACCCGATGCGCGTATTATTCCTGATGTCCAAGTCTGGCTTCAAGCCGCCCCAGCTGAGGGACAGAGAGAGGTGGACAAACACCTTCCACACCTTTCTCAAGCTGGCACTCACCAAGAATCCGAAGAAACGACCCACGGCTGAGAAATTACTACAGGCAAGTCTTATGAATATTGACTGAAGTGTAGAATTCCCCCCCCCCCCCTGACTCTCCTCCCCTTTAACCTTCTCTCCCCTAACCGACTAGCCCTCTCCCCATCTCGCTGGCATTCACCAAGAATCCGAAGAAACGACCTACGCTTAGAAATTACTTCAGGCAAGTCTTATGAATATTGACTGAAGTGTAGAATTCCCCCCCACCCCCCTCCTTGTTCCTCCTCTCTCTTAACCGGCTAGCCCTCTCCCCCTCTCGCTGGCATTCACCAACAATCCGAAGAAACGACCCACGGCTTAGAAATTACTACAGGCAAGTCTTATAAATATTGACTGAAGTGTAGAATCCCCCCCCCCCCCCTCCTTGTTCCTCCTCCCTCTTAACCGGCTAGCCCTTTCCCCCTCTCGCTGGCACTCACCACGAATCCGAAGAAACGACCCACGGCTGAGAAATTACTACAGGCAAGTCTTATAAATATTGACTGAAGTGAAGAATTTTCTCCCTCCTCCCCCTTAACCGACTAGCCCTCTCCCCCTCTCGCTGGTACTCACCAAGAATCCGAAGAAACGGGTACGGCTGAGAAATTATTACAGGCAAGTCTTATGAATATTGACTGAAGTGTTGAATTCCCTTTACTTTGACAAGCTACCTTCGAAAGATTTTTATTGAGCGTTCGGATATTCCATGTAAGATTTTTAAAACTTTATTGTCTATGCTTGAATTTATTTGCTAATTTATTTAATAAAGTACTTTATTTAATTCATTTTTAGGGTTCCGTACCTCAAAAGGAAAAAACGGAACCCTTATAGGATCACTTTGTTGTCCGTCCGTCCGTCCGTCTGCCAAGACCGTTTTTCTCAGGAACGTGTGGAGTTATCAAACTGAAATTTTTATCTAATACTCATGTCTACTGTCCCTTGGAGCTCTGAAAAAATCAAACTTGTAAGCCAAAGCAATCGAAAATTACAGCCGTTTATGCCGCAAATTTTCGAAACTACCACGGGAATTAAATCTACAGGGTACTTCCCGTGAACTTAGAATCTTGAAATTTGGTACGAAGTAACGTCTTATAGTACAGATAAAGGAAAAAATGCGAAAACCGTAAATTTTTAGTTACATCATATATTAAAAAATATTTTTAAAATTTAAAGTTACTACCTCTCTTCTCATGAACGCGTAGAGGTATTAAATTGAAATTCATATCAAATACGGTGAACTTTTACTTATATACCACAGGTTTCTACGGAACCCTCGGTGCGCGAGTCCGACTCGCACTTGGCCGGTTTTTTATTATTTTGAGTTTATTTATTTGACCCTAACTACCGTAAACTACCACCGGTTCCATAATTGGTTTGGTCCCCCTAATGCATGTTCAAACCAAACCACTACATTAGATTTGATAAACCACAGATCCTTGCAATTGAACAACGATTCATTCCTAGGATGACACGCGAAGCTATTGAGATTAAGAAATATCCAAATTTCAATAGGGAAGATGGTTGGTATATTCCACCAGCTTGGGAACCCATTATACAACAGATAAAATCCCAACACCGAGCACACAATGCAAGACCAACAGATACTATTAGTTCTTTTTGTTTGCATAATTTAACATAAGAAGGAGATAGAAAGCCTCTCTGAGTTTGTTTCGCCGGTTCTTCTCAGAAAGGTCTCCCAGTTTTGGAACCGGTGGTAGTTTACGGTAGTTAGGGTCAAATAAATAAACTCAAACTACTGACTGAACTGACGACGCATTCCAGTACCCTTAGCACGAACCAATATCGAATTCGTATCGTTTGCGAGTTCGAAATGTCATTGTCAAATGTGTACTGATTTTTAGTTCTCGTTGCGTACTTTCTGCCGCTGCTGTTCATGTTTCCAAACAAAATTTGACATTGACATTTCGGTTTGCAAACTATTCGAATTCGATAATGGTTCGTGCTAGGGGTACTGCACAGGGCGCGAGACGTCGATAAATAAAATCAGTGCATATAACCCGTTGAAACTTGTTTTATTTAATAGAGCGAAAAGTTTTTTCTATAAAACTTTCTTTGTTACAGCACGCGTTCTTCCAACAAGACATGAACAAGCGGTTGGCCATAGAGCTTTTACAGAAATATTCCAACCCGGCCAGTCATACGCACAATCAGGATGTCGATGAAGATACGGTAAGAAGTCTTACACTCATATTTTTTAAGCATTTAACTGCTAGATGTTGATATCCAAAGAAAATTTGACTAGAAAAATTCCACGCGGAGCATGTAGTAGACGGGAATCAAACCCGCACTCTTCGCTATCCGGGCGAATGCACTGACCATTATGCTACCGCGGCCCTGATGGCCGTGTCAAATTTTCTCTAACTTTTCTTTGGCTGCAAGGCATAATAACTAAAAATATAATAATATGATTACATACGTAGATAGTTAATTTTTTTTTATAATTGTCTTACAGATTTTTAAATCTAAAGAAATTGTCTATAACACAGAAGTTACATTATATTTTTTATTGAAAATGGCATTGCTATTTCATTTTTAAAATCGTTTCTTTTCATGTTTTTGTCGATAAAGGGGTAGAGGGTTGAAAATCGGGGTTGGGATGTTGTTAATTTTGTTGTCTTTAATTAGCTCGAAATTTTGATGTATATAAAAAATGTGTTTTAAACATTAAAACACAGTGGGGGTGCTAACTTTATTCCCAGTTAACACCCCCATTGAAAATTTCGAATATCTCGAACTAGGGGGTGGTCGGAATTTTTTTTCTTGCAGTCCTAAATTGTCCTTAATTAGTTCGAAATTTTCACCGTTTTACTTTTTTTTTCGAAAGTGGGGGTGCCAACTTTATAACCATGAAAAAAAAATCTTTCAAAATCCAACTATCGAAGCTTTCTCTCCTGAGCATTGAAAGCGATTTACTCCGAGAACTCGATTTCAACGAAATCATCAACGATTTTTCGGCGAAAAAAGCTCGAAAGGTTCCGTTCGTTAACTCTAAGATTTAATTTCAGATAATTCTTATTTCCGTTTATATTTTATGTAATATGTGTTTGTTCAATACTAAGGGAATCTACTTGGTTCACAATAAATTATTTATTGAAAAACTCGACTGAAAAAAAAATGTTTACTTTATTTGGAAACTAATTTGGGGTGAGGGGGCCTCCGCTCCTCTGTTGCCCCGAGGCCTCTGGACCTCTAAATCTGGCCCTGGTTCTCAACAAGTTCAAGAAAATGGCAGTAGAAACATTATCTAATAGAATGGGTTGATGGAATTTGGTATCTTACTTGTATCTGCACCGATTAATCGCGGTTTTTTTTTTAATTTTTATTTTTAGGTAAAGAGAAGATAATAGGGGTGATAACGGGGTACAGTAAACGAAATTCTATTTAGTCCGTCAGTTAGATGATCAAAAAATAATGGACACGTATTTTTTCTCTGGGCTTGATTGCCCAAAAAATGACAAAGTTATAGCGCGTCAAAGTTTGGGAGTAGGGGCTCGTGACGTCACTTTTAAGTGAAAATTGTACCAAAACGTGACGTCATGCGACTTTTCAAATCAATATATCTCTGCAATGTTTATATTATGTGAAAAAAGAAAAAATACGTGTCCAATACTTTTTGATAATCTACCTGATACACGAAGAAAAAAAATTAGTCAGCATCCCTATTATACTTCTCCTTTCATTATTAATTTATGGATATTGGTGTAGGTTGTACAGTTATGCCTGCTACACATGTAACGATTTATCGTAACGATTAAACTGTGCAAATCGACTTGCGCAGATTTATCGAACGTGTGTATGACAAATCGTTGTCGATTATCGTTCGTCGGTGGCAATTACAATTTTAATTAGATAAATCGTTGTCGATTGCGTTTGCACAGTTTTATCGTCGCGTGTGGATGGCGATCGCTCAGTTCGGCTGTAGACTCGCAAGTGTGCGCACGTGCGGATCGCTCTTATATCGCAACATGTCTAAAGAAGAAAGAAGTGGACACCATGAACTAATGCAAGATTTCATAGAGAGCTATAGAGTGAAGCCAGTCTACACCACACACTCCGCTCCTTTTTTTCTTTATACACATAACTAGGCCTAATATCGCAAGTGCGTCATAATCTTCCATCGTGGATGACATGTTTCTTGCGTGAGCTTCTGCGGAGAACAGACCGAACAGACAATCGACGCCGATATCGAAGGCGTGTGGAGTCACTAGGAACGTTCGATTTATCTGTACAGTCTGAAATCGCTACGATATATCGTTACGTGTCTACCGACCATTACATAATTAGTATCTACATTATAAATTTTAGTAATATTTAGTGTATAACTGTTCTATGTTCCAAATTGTTAAAATGAAATAAAGTCTTGTGTGCACGGATTTGTTTGTTTTCCTTAGGCGGTGTCAAACGTCCCTCAACGTATCGCCTCCCGTCATACGGGCCGAGGGAGACGAGTGGTGGCAGAAGTGGCCCCCCTGGCCCCAATCCCTGGACCTGGTGAGTCTCCAATGATCACCATCCGTCTGTTAATGTCCCCATTTCATCATCATTACATTTATATCATTTGACGACCTCCGTGGCCGAGTGGTTTGTACGCCGGGTGGTTCATGGTGCCGCCGACTCGAGAGGTCCCGGGTTCGAATCCTGGTGGGGGCAGATGTTTGTGTGATGAATACGAACATTTTTACTCCAGTCTAATATGTATTTCTAAATAAATATACTTATGTATGTACAATATATGTATTCTATCCGTTACCCTAGCATCCCAAAACACAAGCCTTACAGTGCTTACTTTGTGGTCTAGCCTAATTGGTGTGAGTGTTGGAAATATTTATTTATTTGTATCATCATCATTAGCCTATTAATGTCCTCACTGCTGGGGCCTGGGAAGGCCTGTCCCTATGGATGGAATAGGGAGTTTTGGGCCATGACGAACCACGCGGGCCCAGTGCGGATTTCGGGAACGACCGCAGACGCAGCCGGGACCAACGGCTTAACGTGCCTTCCAAAGCGCGGAGGAGCTCGAGATAGTAAACTTTTGGTCACCCATCCAATGACCGACCACCGCGAAAGTTGCTTAATTTCAACGATCGCAGCCGAACGCGCTAACCACCCGCGCCATCGAGCTCCTCATTGACTTCTTAATTACTATACCTATCCGTAATTCTATGGGGTAACTAAGCAAAGATTAATGAATTGATATAGGTCGAAGTTGCCGTCGTTCGGGTTACGACGATTCTCCCGTGGTAGACCTGGACGCAGACGAACCTTTGACATTGGAATTCGCTGCCGACGCGGCGGGATGTCACGGGGACACTGTTAAAAGGAGTAACGGTGAGTTAATTAAACTGGTAGAGTGGTCTAGAGACTCCAGGCGGAGAGGAGACCCCCCCGTAGGGAGATGCCATCCGCCTGGAATACTTCTGGAGGCACTCGCCAATTCTCGGCTTGAGGGCCCCTTAGGATCTCGCCTGGTTATCATTATGATTTTCATAAAAATAAACAGATTATATGGGATGGGAGTATAAACTATCATTAAATAATTTCAGAAATTATCTACCTAGAAATGTAATATATATATATATATATATGTATAATATGTAAAAATTTAAAACAAACTAAAACCTAAATTATATAAAAAAAATATTTTAAAATTAATGATTATTTCAATGATATAAATGCGTGGGGGTAAAATCTGCCCAAAATTTTATTGACGTCTTGCAGCCTTTTCAGGTCTGCATCGTCAGAATAATGATTTTTTCATTTACTTTGTCTTTTCGGTCTTTACCTTCGAAAGACTTTTATTGAGCGTTCGGATATTTCATTGGAAGAGTTTTAAAAATTTATTGTCTATGTATGAATTTATTAGCTAATTTAGTGAAAGTTGCTTAACTTCAACGATCGCAGCCGAACGCGCTAACCACTTGCGCCATCGAGCTCCTCTGGTGTATAATATATTAATGTAATCAATATACCATAGTGGATTTCATATAGCCATCGCAAACTTGTATACTATAATGAAAGCTTCTTATAATGTCACTGCCATATCATTTTCAGTTCATGAAACAAAAAATAGTTTGTAAGTTGGTAATATTCGCATTTACTCGTAATTTTGTCCTTAGTATATCACAGGCAGACGAGCGAAGACTGGAGCGTAGCATCACTAATGAGTTGTCCGAAACACAATCCACTGCAAGAAAACATGGCGACTGACACGATGCCCCCGAGCGAAAAGTGAGTAACCCAAAAATTTTCAATTCTCATCTACAGCTTTTCCCCTAAGCTTTTTGTTATACATATGTTATTTATTTATGTTTATTTATTTAATGTTTATTATTATTATGTTGTAGCAAGTGGTGTCGGGTGATCACTGGTGATGATATAATGAGAATGAGTCTGAGGTATTTTTCGGAAAAAAAACACGAAATTTTATTTATTATAACAATTTGTTTGAGAAATTTTTCAGATGTTTTTGATAGCTTATTTTTTTAACATTACAGAAATTTGGTTTTGGGTGGAGGTTTAATTTGTTTATTTTTTTAATTTACTAAGAGTTTTATGGAGCTTTCAATTATGTATATAAATATATAAATGGGTAGTTCTACTCAGAAGGGACGAAAATGAAGTGATTTTTGGTTCTTATACTGATATCAAACGGGCCAGTCAAAAACATAAAATATACCAAAAATATGACCATTTAAAAAATTATGGGCCCAGGAGACTGAGTATTAATACAAAATTGAAACATATTAAATCGAAATTTATTTATTTACCATATTTGTCCGTGTTTGGGTATACATGTATGTCTGTGGCCAAATTTTTGACTCAAATTTTAACTTGATCGGTCTAGTGGATTCCAAGCAAAACGATTTCTGGCTATTATGTTTCCAGGATACTGAGGTTAACTAATTAAGACTAAGTTTAATTTGATGTTTCACTCAGAACTAACTACAACGCGCTAGACGCAGTAATTCAAATGGATTTTAACGTGTTTTGATGTAGAAGGTGACTGAGGTAAAAACCTAGAGACAAAATATAATGCACTTTTTTTCGAATAAGTTTCGCATTCAAGTTAAAATGACACAAACATATTAAAACTATTTAAATTATACATTTTTTTTATAGATATTACGTACATATTTAAAATAAAGTTATGATGCAGTCTTTAAACTTTCATTTCGGCCGAGAGGCGTGACAGGAGAATGAGAATTTGGCACTTTAAAGTACAGTTTTTGAAAGATATACATTTAGGACTGAGCTAATTTTTAGTGTCTTAATAGAAACCATTTAGTTGGACAGTTTCGATCGTAAATCAATATAATTTGCCAACAAAAACTATATACAATAAGGAGAGCCGCGGAAAATTCCCTTGCGAGTAGAACCACCCATATACTTAGTTATTTTGTTGTGTGGAGTTTTTTTTGATAAGAAAATATGCACTTGTGAAATGTTTGTATTTAAGATGCTCCTACAAAAAGTTATCGAACGTAAAAATTACTACTCTTAGTAATTATTATGTAATAAAGTATTTTATGTTACAATATATAACGTAATATAACGAGTATGAGCATCTTTAGATGTGAGAATTTTGAAGGCGACCAGTACCAGCAATTTTTTGAATGCATGCGTTTTGAAAGTGATCCATATGTTTGGCTTTTTACAATTTACGGGTTATGAATGTTTTACTACAAAGGGTGGTGCGGCGTTTTCATTTTCAAAATGTTACATATCGTAAGGTAAGTTTGTGAAAATGTTTACAGATAGACATTTAAAATGTTTGGCGATGATCATGAGGCTTTTATGTGACTTAGAATTGAATTTTGTGTATCGCAAGATGCGGTTTCAAGATTAAAAAAGATTTTAATTTGTTTATTGATTAGCGGTGTTATGTTTTCTTTCATAAGCTTTGAACATTAAAATGTTAACGTATTTCTCCCAACATATCCTAATAAGTCTTTAGTATGTCTGATTAAAGTAAAATGACTTGCCAAATATTAAAATGATTCAGATCAGAGTCACAAGATTGTGATAAAAAAATGTTAAGAATTCTGTTTTAAAATATATGTGTACTAGTGGCCCGCCCTCGCTTCGCTTCGGTATTTTATCCCCTTGGGGGTAGAATTGATCAAAATCCTTTCTTAGCGGATGCCTACGTCATAACATCTACCTGCATGCCAAATTTAAGCCCGATCCGTCCAGTGGTTTGGGCTGTGCGTTGATAGATCACTATGTCAGTCAGTCACCTTTGAGTTTTATATATATAGATTCCTTTCCATATTAATGTCATGTGAAGTCATCATAAATACAGGTATTCATAATATAGCATCCCACAATATGGATTACATAAAAAATATTAAGATTCTGAAGGGCCTTTACGGTTAAAAAATTCTTATTTACATTTTTAGAATAAAGCAGAAAACATAAAAAAGATATTTTTTCTTAATGTCGATAATGTTGTCGAACAACTTGAAACCGTATCTCTATAGAGTTTAGGTGGATATTTGGATGCCGGCGCGGCACAGCACATGTCTGTAAGTTGTATCTCTTTGTTTTAGGAGCCTCTTGCAATATATTGACGAAGAGCTGATGCTCAGGTAATAAATTGAGGCAATATGTCATACAGATACGTACGCACTGCATGAGTACTGCGTTTAGTTTACGTGTAGTAGAATGCTTTGTGTTTGGTTTGTTATTGTCGGGCAGTAAATGGAATAAAGTTAGCGATGGGAAGTTTCTTACGACTGGGGTTACCAACTTTTTTGGCTACCTACCTATTGTGGGCTACCTACAATGCGAAGAGATGGCGCTGCCTTGCAGCTTAAGGCTAGGAATATTTTGACGCGGCCATCAGGGCCGTGGTAGCATAATTGGTCAGTGCATTCGCCCGGATTGCGAAGGGTGCGGGTTCGAGTCCTGTCCGCTGCCTGGTCCGCGTGGAATTTTCTCTAGTAAAACTTTTCTTTAGATTTAAACATCTAGCAGTTAAATGCTTAAAAATAAATAAAAACATAACTTTTTTTCTATCAAATAAAGTATTTTCGAAACTGCTACCTCTAAAATATAGTAGATGGCAAAAAAAATGGAAACATATGTAGTATGTGGTTAAAATATTTACTTTATTTTTGAAATAAGTATATTTTTGCTGCTGTATTACCTTAATAATTCATGTTTTTATTTTGAGGAAAGCTTTTACTGGCAAAAGTCTTCTTTAAGCAAAATATAGTACATCAAGCAGTTAAATGCTTTAAAATTATAAAAATTGTAACTAAAATATAGTAGTTTCGCTGGCTATATATTTTTTTAGAAATAGAGTATTTGATCCCTAAGTAGGATAATATAGTAGTAAGTAGGGTTGGTAACCCTACTTACGACCGTACTAGATTAATCAGTTAAAATACAATTTTTGTTGCCTCTGGACGAAAAGTCTTTACATTACAAAGGCTTTATACCGATTTGAGTCTCTAGAAATAAATATGCCGATTTGATTCCCTTAAAATTGGGATAAAATCTGAAAGCGTGTGATACTTTATACCGATTTGAGTCTCTAGAACTAAATATGGCGATTTGATTCCCTGAAAATTGGGATAAAATCTGAAGGCGTATGATACTTTATACCGATTTGAGTCTCTAGAAATAAATATGCCGATTTGATTCCCTGAAAATTGGGATAAAATCTGAAAGCGTGTGATACATTATACCGATTTGAGTCTCTAGAAATAAATATGCCGATTTGATTCCCTGAAAATTGGTATAAAATCTGAAGGCGTGTGATACTTTATACCGATTTGAGTCTCTAGAAATAAATGTGCCGATTTGATTCCCTGAAAATTGGGATAAAATCTAAAGGCGTGTGATTAGCCAACGACCGTGGGATGGTTGACTAAACATTTACTATCTCGAGCTTCGCAACGCACGCTAAACCATTGGTCCCGGCTGCGTCTGCGGTCGTTAGAACTACTGAGTTCTTACCAATCCGTCCCCTCCCGTCCTCCAATTGTAGGTCCTGTCGATTCCGTCGGCCTAGCCACGTCTTAGAGTACCCCGACGACGAAATCACCCGCGCCAACGCGCCTTCGTCTCCTCTCACACAGGCCCCAAACACCAACACTACACAGCTAACATCCTTGCACACTAGCTCAGCACCGCACCCGGATAAAAGTGCGAAGAACTGGTCTACACACGACACACTATACCAGGTACAGGGCGCTTTCCCCGCCCCCCACGACAACGGCTAACTAGTGCTGAGGTCCGAGTCTCAGGACGCCCTCTAGTTGAGCCCCTCAGGTTTGAGTGGTCTAAAGGCTCCAGGAGACTCCCCCCGTGGGGAGTTGCCATCCTCCTGGAATACCTCTAGAGGCACTCGCCAATTCTCAGCTTGAGGTCCCCTTAGGATCTCGCGGTCCCCAAACCCGGTGACGCTGTAATAGTAATCTGCGACCAACAGCGTACTCACTCGAAAAAAAAAATGACGTGTTGCACTCCGGGAGTGTCGGCAGAAGTGAAAACTTGAATATTAACGTTGTCCATTTTTGATATTTTGGAATGGTTAGGGAATAATTTTGCACGAATTGCTTTAATTATCAGTAACACTTTATATACACGAATTTTACGAATACACAGCAGTGTGGCAACTACACAGACGGTCGAGCCATCAGCTGTCACCATCCATGGATGCGTGTGGCACGCTGTAACATAAACACACACGAACATTCGCGCAAGCGCCCTGCGCCGCCTAAACGAGACAGCAGGCGCAGGCATACATTTCGCGCCGTAGAAAGAGAGGGGGATACTTCCTCTCCTACGCCGCGCCGGCTGTCTACTCTCCATCCGTCTTACGAATTTTCGATCAGGTCACGTGTCCTGACGCGAGTTTAAAATTTTTTACCCATTACAAAAAAAAGTGTACAACGCCGCTAAAGAAGTTTTCACTTCAAATATCCATCCTGGGTCTAATAGGGTGAACCTGAAGTCTTATATATTATTTACATTATGAACTACGAATGAAACGAGGCGACTTTATTCCATTTGACTGCATTAGGAGCTACTGTTCGGAATAAAATTAAAGATATTTTGTTTATAGTTATAAAGGTAAGATTTAATATTATTAGAAGGGTAAAATGGATATATTTTAAAAACTTTAGTTCCATTATGTCGCTTCATGTCTTCATAAAAACGTATTTTGTTAAATCAGCGATGACGACGTTATTTATTTATTGGATTTCAAAAATCTCTCATTTGTGCTAATTTATGTCATCATAAACCCTTTGTTTTTTTATTCGAATCGAGGAGCTCGATGGCGCAGGTGGCAAGCGCGTTCGGCTGCATGGGATAAGTGACCAAAAGTCTTCTATCTCGAGTTCCTCCGTGCTTCGGTGGGTGGTGGGTCATGCCCCAATCTCCCTATTCCATCCATAGGGAAGGCCTGTGCCCTAGCAGTGGGGACATTAATAGGCTGTTGATGATAAAACCCTTTGTGCAAAATTTCATGCTTTTATATCCAGCAGTTTTAGTTGTACTTTGATCGATTAGACAACTAGTCAGTTTTACTTTTATATATAATAGATAATGGTTTTACATAAGTAGGATTATCAAATCGTAGAATGCTTAATAGTAAAAATGAGGGCAGTTCAATGGTAAATTATGTATAAGTAATTTTATTCATTCCGAACAGATAAAGGTGTTGTTTTGTATTGAAATTAAATTTCAAATATTGTTTACCCGTTTTCGCATGTTGCATGATACAAATGATGTCTTTAGATTGCTATAGATTTAGTAATAATAAGGCGTTTCTATAAAATATTTTATTTATGAATGACAGACCCGATTTTGGTTTTGTTTGTACGAGTTTTATAATAAGATTAAAATATCGTATTTTTAATTCGTATTCGTGTCCCACCAGCACCACTTGTTATTAAACAACAAATTAAAAATTAATAAATTATAGTCCTGCTTGATTCTAAAACAGTAACAATTAAAACTTTTGTATCTAACAGCACAGAACCAGAGCTTAAAGTTGAAAATAACAGCACTCGAGCAGCTTCTACTGTGAGCAGAGAGTTTGTACCAAAATGGTAACTTTAATAATTTCTACAGGGCAACACTGCCGCTGACAGCGGACACGGCGGCCATGACCCAAGCTGGCAACTCTGGCCTCTCCACACATATGCACGACCAACACTTATCACAATGCATACAATTAAAACAAAACTTCTTGAACAACTCCACGACGAACATCTACCAGAACGTAGCTTCGAACTTCCAGAGTCCCATGGGTGCATCTATGGTTTCCATAGACGATCCGCTTTGTAGGAAAATGGGGGAGACTGACATAATGTTTGCCGACCATTCGGAAAGCGGCGTTGTCATAGAATCCCCTCAGTTGAGGAACGCCAACTGCGAATGCGGATTGTGTCCGAAACCCACCGAATTACGAGACGATAATACCCTAAGCGATTTACAGCGTTCTGTTGCATCAAAATGTTCTTGCGACGCTTGCAATTCGAACGGCGATATATTAAGCTACTATCGTAACTGCTCGAAACAAACTTCAGACTCCGGAATAGTGTACTGTGATAACTGTAAAAAACAAAAGATATCCGTGTCTAACTTCAGAGCTTTGCAAATAGCGAACAGGTTGAGGATAGCCGATGATAAAATGGAGAACGGTGGTAATAATTCGGATGATGATTTGTGTAGAAGGATAGATATCAGTTTGAATATGGAGGACAAATCTTATGAGCACAGAAAAAGGCACAACAGGCATAATTCCGATTCGGTGACCGCAGGCATAGATCTGAGTCAGTTCTGCCAGTGTGAATTGGAGAGTGGTAAGAGGAAGACGTCGTCGGTAGATGAGATATTTAGCAGAGTGGAAGGTGGTGGAAGGGAGACAAAGTCTGAGCTTTTGGAGGAGGAACTGAAGGTTGGACAGAGACAAAGGAGCCTGTCGGACAGTCAAAGGGATAAAGCCAAAGTTGAGAGTAAAGGTGAGTCTTTATAATTGTTTTAGATATTGCGATTTGATTAGGCTTTAAATTTATTAAGATAGACAGCTGTTTGGTCACTATGCTCTATTCAATGAAAAGAGGTAATACTGACGAAGGCAAAGCTTTACTTTCATTGGCTGGATTGTATCGTTTTTATTATTCTAGCCAATGACAGTCGTCTTTTTCGGGTGAGCCAGTTTTCTATCCTTGTGTTTTTGTGTTTCCGTAGCAGAGTATATAAATGAAATATCCACTTTACAAAATAATGCAGAGTCACACTATTTTTCAACACATTTGCTCAAAAATTGCATTTACGAAGTTTGTATACGTCTTTGTTTCTTAGGTTTTCACGCACATCACTCATTAAATAAAACTAGTTTAAACGGGATAATGCACGAAACTTTATTTATTTATTGACGTTTCGTAGCCTTTCCAGGCTTTATTCTGACGACGAAGCCTGGAAAGGCTACGAAACGTCAATAAATAAATAAAGTTTCGTGCATTATCCCGTTTAAACTAGTTTTATTTAATTTGTATACGTCGTACGAAAGGTCAAAATTACGGGCTATTCAACGGAGTAAAACATTTTACCGCACGTTCCCATACATGGCACCGTGCGTATCTTTTACGTTTTTTTTTTTTATTTCGATCGAACCTCCTTGGAAGCGCTTTTAATCTCATTTTTCTCTGCCTGACTTTAGTACTAAAAAGAATGAGACAAAGATGTAGTTCTAATTTTCACCATCCGCAGGTGGCGCCATTTGGAAATACTCGCCGTTTTGTTCATAAATCAGTTCAAAAAAGTTTGCTAAATAAATCAAGTATCTACACTGTTTTCTCGCAAATGTGTTGATAAACGTTGTATGACATTCGTACGGTATTGGTAATTTACAAACACGTGACTATGGTAAGCCTAAAGCGCCATTTACACGATGCAATTTTCTTGTACATACAAGAGTAGTAATTACATACAATTAATGAATCCTAATAATTGACTTTCAAGAATTGTAATCGAAGATATAGTAAAAAATGTTGCATACAATTATTGAATGCCAGTTTCAATAAAACAGAATTGCAAATGTCTTTTGTTTACACCAATACAATTATTGTAAGGAGATTATTGCTTTTAAGTATTTACATGTCTAAACACAGACTTGTATGTGCGTATACCATTTATTTGACAGTTGCTTTAAGAATTGCACGTGTTGCGCGTGGGCACATATTTGATTCAAGTGTTGAACGTTTTAGATCTGGGTTTGTTTATAAAATCGATACTATTAGCCGCAAAGTATTGAAATTCGGGTCAGCTGATTTTATTAAGTTCATTGATATACATTCTCAGTACACGAAGAAGACATAATTTTTTTATAATGACGTATTCGAGTAACTAATAAACAGATGAATGAAGGCGAAATATATTTCGCGCCTTTCTATTTTTTCTTACTTATTTTTTTGGGATTAAAACGCTATCTTGGTCTATAGGAATTAAAAAGGTATTTTGATCCCTAGGAATCTAAACGCTATTTTGGTCCCTAGGAATTGAAGAGCTATTTTGGTACCTAGGAATTAAAACACTATTTTGGTCCCTAGGAATTGGAAAGCTATTTTGATCCTAGGGATTAAAACGCTATGTTAGTCCCAGTAAGTAGAACAAAGTAGCTCTTCGAATAGATGTGATAAAAAATATCTATATAACCCACCAGTCCGCACTGGGCCCGCGTGGCGAGTCAAGGCTCAAATCTCCCTATTCCATAAAAAAGGTATCCTACTCACCAGTCTCACCAGTGGAGCAATAAAGATTAAGATTATGACCAAACCGCACTGGGCGCAGTGCGGACCAAAAAGGAACTTAGTTCCAATAAAACATTTAAGGACGCAGATCATGGGGATAGGAAAAAGATACCATAGGCGGCACCGTTCCGATTAAAGTACTAATAATGTTGAGAAGTACAAACTTTATTGGTAAGATTTAATGTTTTTTTTAATGACGTTTTCTCAATATTTCTTGGCTCAAAAGAGGAGCAACGATTAAAACACCACTTACTCACGAATACAAGAGTTGAAAACAGGAAATGCTTAAGAAATTATTGTATATGCTGTTTACACTAAGAAAAGGGTTAATGCAAAACTTCTATACCACATCAAGAATGTCATGTACTGTTAAGATCATGCAAGTCATTGCTTCAATTTAATTGTATGCAACAGGCAAGAAACTTGCATCGTGTAAATGGCGCTTTATATTCGTTTACTCGTTTGCAATGACCAACTTACCGCACTAATATCATAAATAACTATAAGATGCTATTAGTTTAAGACCTCCCTAGTTCCACCCATAGGGAGGGCCTGTGCCCTAGTAGTGGGGACATTAATAGGGTGATTATAATGATGAGTTTGATGCGATGTTTTTTGAAATGTTATTGCTTGTTTAGTCTCGAGGCTAGACGATTCTTGTGAAATGAATGAATGAAATTATACTTTATTCAAATCGACTTATTGGAAACTCTTTGGAATCTTCTAATATTTTCCCACCCGAGAAGAAATGGCGCATGAAACTCATTAGCATTAAGCAGAAGTAGCAACATTTACAAAAAACAAATAGTTGTTCGTAAAGTTGGTTTACGGACGATAGTTTTGCGAGATAAAGTCATAAAGAAACATTGATGAAAAATTGCATAATTGTTTGCTCTGTTGTCACGTCACGTGAGCCGAGTGATAAATGTGTACAAGCTTGGGCTTGGGTCGATCGTGCCTCTCTATCGCTTGTTCCGCGCACTCGCTTGCACGCTCAGGCTCAAGCGGAACGTGACACGTGTTTTCGTGCGTGTAGCCGGTGTTCATCAATTTTAAAGACGTTATCACGTCGAAAACATGTCGCTACCAATACAACATCCACTCACTTTTTGATTGCTGGGTCATACAGTATGAATATACTGCGATTAAACTAAGTATAGGACCGACTGGGTGCCATATTATGACTTCATAGCTGTCAATTCAAACAAAATAGGTAGAGTTGACAAAAAAAGTTTTTATTTAATATAACTAATTTACTAAGATTAAGTGAGAAAAAACATCCGATTTTTTAAATATTTTTTTTTACTAAGATTGTGAAAAAAACAACCAGTTTATAATAATATTTATTTATTGAGACTGTGTGAGAAATAACATTAGCCAGAATATAGTTCTTCACTTCCGCTCATCTCTGCATTATCGCTGGAGTAGTTATGAATAATCATGCACTATTACTAGGTCACATACGAACATGCATCCTTTATGTAAGAACGAAAGTTTTAAATCGAGTTTCTGAACGCATCTTAAAGTGACATTTGGTTGACGATTTAGATTATCAAAGATCAATAAATGAAAAAAATATCAACCAATATTAATTCAATATTAGTTATTGTTTGTTTACAAACGTTTCTTTTTTATTCAAGAATTAGCTGAGTGCTTAAAAAAAGAGTTTCTAAGTTTTTTTGCAAACCTTACTTTTCAAGCGACTTTTGAGAGATGGAGGTCATTGACTTTCCTATTCTTATTTAAATCGCACTATACAAACGGTGTTCTATGCGATGTAAAGTGTTCAACGTTTACATTATTTGTAATTTTCTCCAATATAGCTAGTACGGCTAGACCTCAGGATATAGAGGGCGAGGCGCCCACGGTTCCCCCGCGTCGGGGCCGGCGCCGCGCCCACACGCCGCCCCGCCCCGCGCCCAACGGGTTACCGCCCACGCCCAAGGTGCATATGGGCGCCTGCTTCTCTAAGGTCAGTCTTAACATTAAAAGGCATTTTGTTTGTAACGCTATGCCCTGCAGTTTCACCCGTGTTATTTTGAATAAAAATGTGATAAAGGTATTATGTTCCCTAATATTTTATTCATAGGTATAAACAGAGAGCAATAGACATTGAAATAACAGCAAAAATCATTTTTTGTGATCTCTGACCTGCGGTGACTTACGACGCAGACTCTGGATTTTATGATAACTTTTGGAACGCAAAAACGAGGATCTATAAAAAGATCCAGCTTATCATATCTCTGTCTGCTGTGTAATGAGGAGCTGAGGACAAAACGGTATAATTACGCATCTGGTCAAACTACATCCTTTTTACAGTCCGAAGGTTTCGGGCCCGTTGAATTTGAATCTCAAATAATTTTCAATCTAAACCACCCAAACTCAAACAGGGTTAAAATTACTCAATTTATAAATTAAAATCATGCCAAAAGCTCACTGTAGGTATGTCATTCAGTTTTATACAGCTCCTGGAAAATTTATTAAAGGTAATTAAACCGTTTTATTCGCCAGCTCCTCAATAATTAATTTACCTGGACTATGGCGGTTAGAGAGTTTGGCTTGAAAGCTTGAGACCAACGATATTAAAAACCCTAGATACAACAACACGAACAAAATCGTAGCCGAAACGTGTCCAAAAGGTACATTGTACTATCCGCAGAGCTCGGTAAGATGATCGCGTAGTCAAAACCCATATAAGGCATTATTTAAACATTACAAGTCACCTTTAATGCAATCTGTATAAGGTCTTAATTAAAACGAATGCGTCAAAGACTTCTGACAGTTCGAAATGCAAGCTCGTAAAATTTTACAACTTATTCCTATATGCTGAAGAATATTCTATTGACTCTACGCGTAATTCTGAATGCGCTGTTAACAATATATCAGGTACGGACCGCGATGAAAAACGACGGCTATACGGCTACGTATGACCGACCATGAATCAGAATATCACAAGTATTTTATATTAAATCAGTTTATAGTAAGTATTAGAACAAAATTTGCTTCAAATGCGTTAAATTAACAAACGTTGATTAGATGCCTGTCGAAAAACGACACTTTTTGTACTATAAGTATTTATTTCGCAGTTTTTCACAGAGCTCTGTGGCATCTTAACTTTGTAACGGTCCGTGCGTGACTGTGAATCAAGAAGTGCTTGAGTGGAGTTCAAGCACTTCTTGATTGGGACACATATTGAGCGGTCGGGTGTATCTAGGGTATTTAATATCGTTGCTTGAGACAGCAAACCTTAGGTCGTATATACGTAGAAAGCTATCTAGCGGCGCTCATCTACCAGTGTTTTTCGGTTCTGGTCTGGTATTCCATCCATAGGCTGATGATGATGATGATTATCAGGTATTCAACGGTTGCCCGCTGCGGATAAACTGTACGGCGTCGTGGATACACCCCGACACTAGGGATCAACATATACTTATTGGTGAGTATGCTATTTATGTCCTAGACGTAAGGTCTAATTTAGTATAATCAGGCGAAGTAGGTACGTTTCGACTGGTATACATACATGAAATTGTTAGATCTGTATGCCAATATAATTGATCCGGTCTAGAAAACTGAGTGAATGCGACATAAAGAGTTATTCAACAAGTATTTGCTTATATTCGAAGACTCCTCAATATTAAGTAAATAGCCAAGCTTAATTGAAAATACAGCGTAAGTACAGAGTACGCATGTCTGAAGTAAAATGAAGTTTCATAATAATAATAGGGTATTTGACAGTCTTGAAAATAAAGTGCTACTTGTTAGCATCTGTGTTTAGAATGGATATGGGCAGGGGTTTTTTCTATTTTTACAAAAAAAAATCATAATTTTACTAATAACCCACGAAAAAGATAATAGTTTTCTTATCTATTGTCACGTGACCCAAAACGCTTGGGATTGGCGGAGCCTAAAATGACGTCACACGCAAGTAAACTTCCGGTTAAAGTGACATTACATTGTATCGTTTGACGTTTTAATAACAGTCGTGTGACGTCACACACTAGTAAGACGCCATATTGTCCAGAGAAACGTTTTTGCGGCAACTTGAAAATGGAGTTTTTGATTTGGTTATTGTTACTGAAATACACAACAGAATGATGAATATCCACTTTTTACGGACTCCATAAACATTAGTCAATAACGTGAGATCGTTTTCTTACACTTGTCAAATACCCTGTACTACCCTAACATAATTTAAAAAACAATAAGAACAAGAAGAACTATCCTATAAAATTTAAAATCGTCGCACTATCTAACGCAATAATATCCAATCAGAAAACAACGCTTTCAGCGTAAATCAGATTTTTTCTCTGTAATTTATGGCAAAGATGTTACCTCTATTAGACGAGTAACAAAACTTATCCAAGATTTTACTTGGTAATTATATTTTCATTATTTGAAGTTGACTTGTTTGATTTTTGTGTTTTAGATAAAAATTTATCTGTCAAACTCTACTTGTTGATGTTTCCGTGTTGATAATCCAATTTATAATTTTAACTTTATATAATCTAATCAGTGTTCGTACTTTATAAGGCTAAATTGAATCAAAATAAAAAGAAATAAAGTCGATAAATATGTTTACATACAGGTGCTGAGGAGGGTATCTACACCTTGAACTTAAATGAACTCCATGAAACCGCCATGGATCAGTTGTGTCCGCGCCGCACTATATGGTTGTACGTCATCAAAGATGTGCTCATGTCTTTGTCTGGTATGTACTTTTTAATATATAAAAGACAAGTTATGACATCAAAGGTCTACTATTCTTTATAACATTACAAGCTTGTGCCCACGTCTTCTTCTGCATGGAAAAATTGGTTTCTCATTCAAAATTCCTGCTCCGCTTTCACACCCTTAAAGGATGATCCCTTTACTAAATCGATTTTGCGTGAAGAGGGACAGACAAACATACACACTTTCGCATTCATAATATTAGTATGGCATATGGATTGGCCAATAGACCACAGTGCAGTGATTCGATTCAACTTGATTTTCACTGTACGCTATCGAAAATTAAAGAAAGTTTTTCCTGAAAAAAAAAACTTTTCAAGTTTTTAAACTGGAATCGAACCAGCGTCTTCTGTTATCCATGCCAATGCATTATTAGCTATGTTACTGACTACCGTAAGATTAATTCATTTATTTATTTTGTATGTTTTCACGCACATAAAATATTTAGAAAAATGCTGTTTTTCCGTGGGCAGAAAGCGCGTTTTTATATATACATATTTTTAACAATATCCTTGACAATACCCTTAACATAGGAAATGTTAAAAAAATAACGAAAAAATTAAAACCGTCCTTTAAACGCCCAAATACTTTTATTAAATAAGTTTATTTTGCTTTCAGGTAAAACGCCGTCGTTGTACCGGCACGAACTGTTAGCTTTATTAGGAAGTTCCCGCGGAGGCCGATCACTGCGGGTATTACCCCCAAGACTGTTGCCTAGAAGATTCGCGCTCACTACTAGAGTACCTGATACCAGAGGTAATTGAAATTAAATAAAATTGTTAATAGTTAATTCAAATGAGGGCTGGTGTCAGTGCATTCGCCCGGATAGCGAAGGGTGTGGGTTCGAATCCCGTCTGCTGCCTGGTCCGCGTGGAATTTATTCTAGTCATATTTTCTTTAAAAGTAACTAATTACTTGTTACTTGGCTACAAAGTAATACGTTTTGTGTAATATACAAACATAAGAAAAATGTTTAAGTAGGAAATTCCTGTAATAGTTTTGTAGCAATTTATATCAATTATTATAATAAAATGTCATGTAAATACAATATTAATCTTTATAATCAAAGTATTAATTTGTTTATATGCATTCTACTCACATTAACGAGACATGTCGGCGGGTCACAAATATGCTCCGTGCCCTCTATAAATATAAAAATTTTCTCCCTGTTCACACAAAAATCTCTTTGATCCAGGCTCTTGTCCTACCATCCATAGATTATGCTGATGTGTGCTATTCTGACTTAAATATAGATTTTCTTGGTAAATTGGAGCGGTCTTTTAACAGCTGTATTCGATTCATTTTCAGTCTACGGAAATATGATCATATCACTTCATTTCGCCGTGAACTCAATTGGCCGCCTCTTTCAAACCGTCGTGATCTAAGAATTCTCACAACTCTTTTCTCAATTCTTTTTGACCCTCATGCTCCGTCTTACCTGAAGTCCAAATTTCACTTTTTGAGTTCGACTCACTCTCGTCCTCTTCGTTCATCTGAAAACCTTCTTTTGTCCATTCCTTCCCACTGCTCCAGCTTCGTGTCAAAATCATTTTGTCTCCAAGCTATTCGTCTCTGGAACGGTTTTCCGGAGAGCGTGAGAGGAGCACCCAGTAAACCTGCTTTCAAGGTCCTTGTACGTCAGCATTTCGCTAAGAACTCATAACAATTTCCATATTATGAACCAACTTCTGGTCAGTCCGACTATTATTAATATTATTTGTAGTTAATAGTTATTTTCTGTTTTATTATAGTATTCTTAAGTAAGTATAGTGGTATTTATTATTGTATATGTGTAGGTATTTATCGTATATATAAATTATTATGATTATTATGATTTAATTTACTTCACCGCATAATGTCTCTGCTTAGCCCGATGGTTGACTGGTAGAGAATGCCATGTGGCATTAAGTCCGCCATTTGTAACAAAACAATAAAGAGTAAATAAATAAATAAATTCTATCCGTTACCCTAGTATCCCATAACACAAGCCTACAGTGCTTACTTTGGGGCTAGGTTATTTGGTATGAGTGTTGGAGATATTTAGTGTATTTTTCACGCACACCACTCAATGACACACGATTAAACGGGGTCAAAATGTTTCAATGCGAAATGTCAAAAAACCGTCCGTACGTCAATCCGTTTTAGCGTGTTTCATTTAATAAAAGTATTTATTTACAGAGTATTTAACTATATGTTTTCTCGTTGTCAGGTTGTATGCGTTGCGCCGTTGCCCGTAATCCATACAACGGTTACAAATATTTGTGCGGCGCCACGGCAGCTGGACTATTCCTCATGCAGTGGTACGATCCGCTCAGGAAATTTATGTTGCTCAAGGTAATTTATTTATATATTTTTAACGGGATGACTTACAGCTTTTCGTACAAGATTTGGTGAGGAGCCATTAACAAGTATTCACTTACAAATAAGAATACATTTAAGATTAGTAATTTAATTTCATAAAGTTGAGAAAAAGCAAAGTAAATCACGACAAATGAAATTTTGTTAAATAAAATGAAGCATTTACAAATATTTCACTAAGTCTAATACAGTCTTATTTTTCTGCTAGGATTCAGAAAGTTGTTATAAATGAAGCTGAGTCTACAGGAGCACCCATTTCTATGGGCGTGCCCCAGGGTTCAATATTTAGCCCATTGCTTTTCCTTAATTATATCTATGACCTTCCTCACTTTACAAGAGATTTGTGTGACACAGTACTATTTGCTGATGACACCTCTTTAGTGTTTAAAGTTAGAAAAGGAAATAAATTGTGCTCACTCTGAAGTCCTTCAGCGGTTTACGGTAAATAATAGAAACGCTATAACTTTCGATATTATGGCGTTTCACTAGTGTGTGACGTCACATGACTGCCTTAAAAACGTCAAACGATACGGAAGTTAACTGGCGTGTGACGTCATTTTAGTGTTGGCCAATCCCAGGCGTTTTGCGGTCACGTGACCATGGAGCAAAAAACATTTCTAGTTAATGATTTTATATAAAAGTTATTAATTACATTACATTGTATCGTTTATAAAATAGTGAAATATTCATATTAAATACAGATGCCAAAAATTGGTACATAATTTTTCATACTGTCAAATAGCTTATTATTTTCCTGTTGTATTATTACTTCGTCGAATTATTCTTTATTTATTTTTTCTATTATATTAACGTTTGATTTATCTTTTGAATCTAGAACATAGAGTGCGTATTGCCGACGCCGCTACTAGTGTTCGAGTTGATCATCACGCCGGAACTCGAGTATCCCCTACTATGCATTGGGGCTACGAGAAACCCGATGCGGTTGAATCTGCTCAATATTAACTCTGGTAAGCGGTAAACTGTATTATCGCCATCAGCCTTTTAATGTTAACATTTATAAAAATTGTCTCAGCTAAGTCCCAAGTACAAATTTTGTCAGCTCCGTAATCGTATCGCATCGTCAAAGTTTCTATGAAAACTGAGCAGCGCCCCTACCGGACTTAAGAACAAACTGGCTCAAAATTTGACGATGACGACTCGATTACGGAGCTGTCAAAGTTCGTGCTCGGGCCTCTGATGGTAAAAGCAATAGCAAAATCTTTTTGTAGTTTTGAGATCATAGAGAACCTACATACAGACAGACAGATTAGCCCGATTTTTTTTATAATATGTAGTGATTTAATTGTAAATTTGCAGCTTTAGCAATAAAAACCACCATTCCACTTTAGGAGCTATTCATTTATTACACAAGGCTATTTTCGCTGGTGTTTCACATTATTTATTAAAGTTGTCTTCAAAGAAATTAAAATATTAATAGTTAACTAATAGTTAAAACTGTCTTTATCAGTTATTAATAAAATGTGAAAAAATAATTATTGTACTGGAAATTAATAATAAATTCACGATGAGAGTAAAATTAACGTAATAGATGCACAGAAAAATTAAAATAATACGTATAAGTCACTGCTACGATCGATACACAAATGAAATCAAAAAAATGGCCGAAAACTGTATATTGAGGAAGACAGGAGACCGGCTTCCTTCTCATCCCTACTCCGTGATGTTTGCTGTATGAGAGGTGACCCAGGTAGACATCTAGCGGGGATAACTGATCGATTGATCGTTGATCGGTTATCGATCGACCGGTGAAGGCGGAAGATCAAATTGAATTGAGAAAAAAAAAGAAATTATTAAAAATAAAAATCGCGATGGTAAAATAGCGGTTGATTGTAAAGGGTTGAAAATTCAGGGTTATATGTATTTACTAATGCTGTATCATAAAAAAAAGAAAAAAAAGTTTTTTATCTAAAATTAAAAAAAAAAATTAGGGGTGGATTACCCTTAACATTCAGGGGGATGAAAAATAGATTACATCCGATTCTCAGACCTACTGAATATGTATATAAAATTTCACGAAAATCGGTCGAGCCGTTTCGGAGGAGTTTAACCACAAACACCGCGACACGTGAATTTTATATATTAGATATATATGAATGATGCGTGCGCAGCTTCCCGCATGCATGCAGGGCATTGCCTTATGCACCGCCTAATGTTAAGTTATTAAAAAAAAAGAATTTTCACTTCAGATGTGTGGTCCGTGCAAACAAATATTATTATTTTATATTTATATCATGATCGCAGGCATGACGTGGTTCCAGTCAGAAGAGCTAGAAGGTCCCGCAGAGAGATTACACACGCTGCGAGCTGTGCATCAACTCAACGCCGACGCGGTAATGTACCATATACGTGGCACACTCAGAAAGTTTTGAGAAATTAAAAAACTAGCTTCTATGAAAAAAAATATTTTTATCAAATCTTTTTAAAGAACTCGCCACCAGCCTCTATACAAAGTTTCATGTGTCTGAACCAACCGTCTGGCTCCCGAAAAAATGCGGAGGGAATATTGAACAATGGTATTTTAGTAAAATTTTCTTTCTATTTAAACACTTGATTTAAGTCCATTTAATCAAACCACTTAGTTAAGCCTAAAAGAACAAGCCACCTGATCATGCCACTTAATCAAGTCTATTTAATCAAGCGCCATGGTGGTGAATGGTCACCTTAACAACAGACTTTAGTTAGATGATATTACATTGAACTATATTACTAACGTATAGAAAAGACACCCCGAACAAAAAATTTGCTTCATTTTGGTATGAGTTAGAACCAAAATTTCGCTGCAGCGCTAAAACAATAGTTATGTCATCTAACCAAACCATTAAAACATGCGCAGCGCTAGATCACTTACAGGGAATAGTTTTCTCGCGACCAAAACGTCATAAGCGCCGCGAATTTCCTGGCGCTTACGCGTTTCGTTCAACGTAGAGTAACAACAAGTCGCTCTCATTGATTTTACACTGCAGAAGTAACACCTTTTGTACCTACTACAATACTCTGCCTTATCATTAAATAAATAAATGAAGTGAAATAAAAATCTTTATTTATTACACAAATTCAAAATAAATCAACACAAATTATATTATTTAATTGCCTTTAAACAATATAAGTTTAGTGAGCTTTTGAACACAACCAAGCAATTGGATGTTGTTATTTATGCGAGCCAAACACAACTCTTCACTACGGGCGCTAGATACTTACTGGACAGTTGCGGTACAGCGTACCGCAAAGCGTGGCGCAAAATCATGCAACGCGTTGTCTTCTCTATACGTAGTAGTAATACCTCAGTGTGATATTATGATACATATCTCTGAGTGCGGAAGCTTTGTAGGTTTTTTTATGTGTTAAAAGGGTGGTCCGTCTGAAGGTAAACCTTCACAATAGCCTTCTTCTTCCTAAAGTTTCGCATGCTTTGTAGGAATCCGTCGTCAGCACATCGTACCCGTTAAAACTAGTTTTAGTTAATGAGTGATGTGCGTGAAATATTTTGGAGTAGCTCAATGGCGCAAGTCGTCAGCGCGTTCGGCTGCGATCGTTGAAGTTAAGCAACTTTCGCAGTGGTCGGTCACTAGATGGGTGACCGAAAATCTTCTATCTTCGAGTTCCTCCGTGTTTCGGAAGGCACGTTAAGCCGTTGGTCCCGGCTGCATCTGCAGTCGTTAGCACTCGCTAATCCGCACTGGGCCCGCGTGGTGGGTCATGGCCCAATCTCCCTATTCCATCCATAGGGAAGGCCTGTGCCCCAGCAGTGGGGACACTAATAGGCTGACGATGTTCGTGATAACCTAAGAAACAAGTATGTAAGTTATTTATTTCCTAATTCACAGGTGTTAGTGTGTCACGAGAACGTTATAGACATAATTCCGGTGCTGCCCTCTACGCCGGAGCGATGGCGGGAAGACGAGCAACGCCGGAAACATAAACTAGTGCAGCGGATACAGTTCGACTTCAATATCGATAGTATATGTGAGTTTTGTTGATAGATAGATATATAGATAGATAAGTCGTTTATTCGTATGAACGGCACAATATACAAAAACTAAAAAAAAGCAATTACACTGTTAATATAAAGGCGAAAGTGTGTGAGTGTGTATGTTTGTTACTTATTCACGTCTTAACAGCTGGAGCGATTTTAATATAATTTGGTATAGAATTAGCTGACACCCTAAATTAACACGTAGGCATCGTTTTACTGCGGGAAAATATCCCTAATAAACCGCGGGTAACACCGCGGGGCACAGCTAGTGTAATAATAAAAATAAATAAAAATCAAAGGAACTTATAAAGCGTGCTGCAACACTACCAAATGGCTACAGCTCAGCGATGATTTTACTCTGAAGGCAAAACACTCTAAATTATACAAAAAAAATGGGTGCGTGTACTTAGGTAGGCGCGTGAGAAGTTATCCTTCTTTGGCATCGTTTAAAATTAGTTTTTAATTGCACGCAAATAATTAATTACAATAAATTAATAAAAAGTCTGGAAAAGGACACAGTCAATAAAGTTCAGTTTTAATTTGAAAAAATAAATAAATAATCAAAATGTTCAATTAAAATCGCTACTGAATATAATTTATTAGAACATATGTGATTTGCACTTATATGAAACTCAAACACGTATTCCGAAACAAACTAGAAACATGTGGATAAATATTATAAATATGAATACCTATAACTGTTACTTTATTACAAAAAATAAAGATGTGGTTTTTGGTTCTACTACACCAATGGTCAAGAGATGGCGCTGTAGTCTCCTGAATCGCGCTTTGGTTCCGTTGTTCCAGATTAATAAATACTTTTGATATTATAAATATGAATACCTATAACTGTTACTTTATTACAAAAAATGAAGATGTGGTTTTTGGTTCTACTACACCAATGGTCAAGAGATGGCGCTGTAGTCTCCTGAATCGCGCTTTGGTTCCGTTGTTCCAGATTAATAAATACTTTTGATAGGCCTTCACAATGCAGTCGTTAGCACCCCTAAATAGAGATTCTATTTCTATTTTGTTGGTAGATTTTCTTAATGTGCGGTAAACACAAAAGTAACGCATGAAGTTGGTCGCTAAAGCGACCAACTTCATGCTGTTAAAATTTTGTGTTACAGTGATGCGCGCGCATCTTAAAATTTCACTCTCATCATTTTTTCATAACGCGCCTAAAGAAGTATAACTTCAAAAAACGGTTCTGGCGCTACTTGTCACAAGCATAATAAGCCAAATTAATAAAGGAGTAGAAAAAGAATGAAAATTATATAAAATGTATACTACAGTACCCGACCATTTATAATTCGCATCGTGCTTTAATTACTTAGTTTAGTAGAAAATAGTACACTTGCACATGAAACCTTAAATATTAAACTCAACATTCCATATTTTTTCTTTTACATACGACAAATGTTAATCTTCTTGTTTTCATACTACAATGACCGTCGAGTATTTTTTTTGTTCGATCCTTTTATTCATAATTATCTATCTCCCACAGTATGCTTAGCGGATTCCGTGCTAGCGTTCCACCGTCACGGCGTGCAAGGCAGGTCGTTACGTCACGCCGACGTCACGCAGGAAATCAGCGACCGATCGCGGGCTTATAGACTGCTGGGGAGCGACAAGTCAGTACATAATACACACATTGCTATCAACATTATTTAAAATACAAAATCAATGGATACACTTCATAGTGCACACATTTATATTATCATCATTATTAATAATAATCAATGGATACACTACATAATACACGCATTTCTATCATCATAGTTACTGCAATACAAAATTAATGGATACACTACATATTACACACATTTCTATCATCATAATTACTGCAATGCAAAATTAATGGATACACTACATAATACACACATTTCTATCATCATAGTTACTGCAATACAAAATTAATGGATACATTACATAATACACACATTTCTATCATCATAGTTACTGCAATACAAAATTAATGGATACACTACATAATACACACATTTCTATCATCATAGTTACTGCAATACAAAATTAATGGATACACTACATAATACACACATTTCTATCATCATCATTACTACAATACAAAATTAATGGATACACTACATAATACACACATTTCTATCGTCATAGTTACTGCAATACAAAATTAATGGATACACTACATAATACACACATTTCTATCATCATAGTTACTGCAATACAAAATTAATGGATACACTACATAATACACACATTTCTATCATCATAGTTACTGCAATGCAAAATTAATGGATACACTACATATTACACACATTTCTATCATCATAATTACTGCAATGCAAAATTAATGGATACACTACATAATACACACATTTCTATCATCATAGTTACTGCAATACAAAATTAATGGATACACTACATAATACACACATTTCTATCATCATAGTTACTGCAATACAAAATTAATGGATACATTACATAATACACACATTTCTATCGTCATAGTTACTGCAATACAAAATTAATGAATACACTACATAATACACACATTTCTATCATCATAGTTACTGCAATACAAAATTAATGGATACACTACATAATACACACATTTCTATCGTCATAGTTACTGCAATACAAAATTAATGGATACACTACATAATACACACATTTGTATCATCATCATTACTACAATACAAAATTAATGGATACACTACATAATACACACATTTCTATCGTCATAGTTACTGCAATACAAAATTAATGGATACACTACATAATACACACATTTGTATCATCATCATTACTACAATACAAAATCAATGGATACACTACATAATACACGCATTTCTATCATCATAGTTACTACAATACAAAATCAATGGATACATTACATAATACACACATTTGTAGCATCATCTACATTACAATACATTTTTTTTATTTCAAATTACGGCTGCTCTCTTTTAATTTGAATTATGTTGATGCTGTTACTTTGAGATAACAATAGAATGAGATAACACGTGACTTAAAATAAAGCATTAAACGATTCTGAGTGCGGCTATTAGTCCATTTAATTCCCCCCTTCTGGGGTATACGCCTTCCCAATGGACGGGATTACTAATAATACTAAAAGGGGCCATGACCCACCAAGCGGTCCAGTGAGGATTGGTGGGTGCAAACAACTGCAGATGCTGCTGTGACCAATGGCTTAACGTGCCTTCCGAAGCACGAAGGAGCGAGAGACAATAAGCTTTTGGTCACCCATGCAATGACTGGCAACTACGAAAGTTGCTTACCTTCCACGATAGATAAAAATTACATTGTATGTATAACTAGCGGCCCGCCCTCGCTTCGCTTCGGTGTAGAGCTGAAGTGTAGACTACAGTTTTTGTTCTCAGATTTGTATTATACACAATGACATTCATCTTTGATTCTTCTTTCTTACACCTGCATGCAAAGTCTCAGCCCGATCGGTTTAAAATTGACAAAGTTTCATACAAACTTTCATTTCCTATTTTATCCTCTTGGGGGTAGAATTGATCAAAATCCTTTCTTAGCGGATGCCTACGTCATAACATCTACCTGCGTGCCAAATTTCAGCCCGATCCGTTTAGTGGTTTGGGCTGTGCGTTGATAGATCACTATGTCAGTCAGTCACCTTTGAGTTTTATATATATAGATAAATAAAAACAATTATACTTTTCATTTACAGAGTGGTTGTTCTTGAATCGCATACACTACAAAATAACACGCTATCGAGCGATGATGGTAATGATCTCTACATTTTGGCGGGCCATGAAGCATCTTACTGAACTATCTAGAATCTTCTCGAACGAATTTCGTGTATCTCCATGTTTTTTTACGTCAGATTTCGGTAAACAATGTTCATATGCCTTTGTATCGAAACCAGTTTTAATAATAACATTATCACTTTGCAATTTCCAAGTGATAATGATAGAAATAACGATAGTTTTAATTGCCATAAGTAAATAATGACTTTGAACCAAATCTATATTGTTTTAAGAGATAATTTCGTGTTCAATAAATGGTTGTTTAAACAAATGGTTGGTTGTGTGAAAATTGTTTACTGAATAAGTCGAAAAGACAGCAGGAAACAGATATAAGTATGTAGTAGACGTACTTCAATTGAATCCTGTATGAGATTGGTTAAAAGGCGAGAATACACCTTATGACACAGATATTAAAGTTTGATTCCCTACAAAAGGTTTTGCCAGATCTCCAAGATGGTTTTGCTTTTTATGTAGACTTTTTCCGTTTTATTTGCTGTAGTAGTCTTGCAACGAATTGACATTAATCAGGAATGTGGAAACACTTTTCGTTTCATAAAACGTTACTTACTCAAGCAGTACTCACTAAGGAAGTCTGTAATATCTGGCTATCTCTTTTATCACAAGTTATTTCTTTACCATATAAATATGTCTTGTAAGAGCGAGAAAGACGATCGCCTACCTCTTTCTTCGTTTTATCCGTCAAGTTATCAATTAATATTGTACGTAATGTCCTTGGATGTAATTACTATTTGTAATTACCTATGTACTCTTGTGGAGTGAAGAAGAAATTGCTTATTGCATTCTAAAATCAACTTTATTCTTATTCGAAATACGATTCAGAATAAACGGTTAACTGGAAGAATGTTTATGAGTCGGTCCATAATGCTATTTGTTTAATGAGATGCGAATATAATGCGTATGCTGAGAAGAATAAGGTTAATTTTGCCAGAACACCCGCGTTGATCTTAATAAGTAGGTTTATTTTTAAATATATACCAGGATATTTCCTGGTACAATAAAAATACAGAACATAGAAAAGGCGCACAAACTACGTAAATGTCCAAACGATTTGAAACTCTTTTTTTGTTGTTATATAGTTCAAAATCGAGTAGTTTAGCTATTGAAACAACAAAAAAAATTATAATTAATCAATAATTGGCACACGACAAGTCTTTTTCAATCAAACTTGTAGAAAAGGTAAACAATATTGACATTTTATTATATTTTTATTTTAGGCATTTAACTGTTGTATTTATAAAACTAAAGAAAATATTTGTTTCATAGGTTTTCACGCACACCACTCATAAAATAAATCAAGTTTCAACGGTATATATGCATGTCGTCAGAATTATGACGACGACGACGATAATACTGACGACGTAGCCTGAAAAGGATGCGAAACGTCATAAATAATTAAATCAGTGCATCTGTACAATTGAAATTTGTTTTATTTAAGGAAAAAAAATATTAAAAAATCTAAAGAAAAAACCACGCAGTCCAGGCGGCAGGTGGGACTCGAATTTAAACATCTAGCATTTAAATGCTTAAAATATAAAAATATAATAAATTTTAAAAAGCATCACACAGGATATAAGTTGTCATTTTTTTATTGTGTTCTTTTGACGGTGATTGTAGCTATAAGTAAATGATAACTTTTATTACACATAATAAAGAGTTGAATTCAAATTGTTTACTCTGTCTACAAGTTTGAATTGACCAAAATAAAAATTAAGTTGGTATCGAATTGTTCAAACCGTATTAAGAGAATATAGAACAGCGCCTTATTACGATTAGCAATAAGAGCTATATCTGTAGAACAAGTTTTTACTGTTGTGGCTTTATACCATTATCATTTGAATACTGAAACTTCACTCGAGTTTAAGTAGATACATGTAAACGCAGATTTAATGCCGATCTCTGAAACGTCACTTATTTTATGCAAAACTTTAAACAACAACAAGACAACATGTCAGTTTGACAAGCAATTAATTGACGAATTATGCTGTCATTTTTTGGGATACGAGCGATACTCGTCTAACTTAACTGGCGTTTTTTAGTATGGCATTTGTACAATAAGCTGCATTTAATTATTCGGACATATAAGTAGTGAAAAAACACCAACTAAATTATAAGCAATTCCAATTTTATAACACTGCCATTTTTTAAAATTGTAATCCATTTTTTTATGATTAAACAGACAAACGAGGAGCAATAACATTTTCCTAGTTATGAAGTAGTTTAGGTTGGTAAGATGGCCGAAAACTGGGTTGCCATTCGAAACATTGTAGGTTTTTCTTTAAAATTTTTGATCATACTAGCTCATAGGTGTATTCATAGTAAATTTGAAATATCGTCAGTCAAGTTTAGAAATATTTTTTAATACCCATTCCTTTAGAAGTTGTATCCATATTAAAGAAATAACTTATTTTGACTACTTGCTAAAATGGTAGATTAACAAGTTTTTAACGAGAATTAACATAACTGTATGAATAATATTAGAATAGTAACATTTGCCTCATTAAAATAAAATTCGTTTAAAAACTATATAATATCCAGTGCGATACTTATTGTTTTTTAAATACTCTTCAAGCGAAATGAATTGTTTGTTTATTGAAACAATTCGAATAAACATTAATTACAATTTTTTGAGATCTTTCTGTTCAAACAATTTGAAACCTGTTTATTCACCTGTATGAAATTAGTTGGAAAATGCTTTAAAACAATCGAAATGGATTGACATTAATTTTATCTTTATTTTATGTAAATAAAATGAAACGAAAAAATTTATTATTTTAATAAATTACCAAATAAATGTGATTTTTGCAAGCGTACGCTTTGCGGTAATTTTGAAAGTGTTTAAAAGACAAAACCTATGTATGTTAAAATAAATGTAGATTTATAATTTTAGAAGTTCGATTATTTTCGATTCGATGAGAAATATGTATAGTAACAATAATATTAAAAACAAAAACCGCTTGTGTAATTTTTATTTTGTAAATATTATTAATTACAAATATTCCAATTAGATTTTAGTCAATTGTATAATATCATTAGCTTAGATGTAATTTTTAATGTATTTAATGTTTTTTTTTTTAATCTCCGGAGAGTTGGCTAGAAAAGAAAATATATTTATATATATTTTCTAGAAATTGCATTACAAATATCTTTTACCTATAATTATGAAGAAACTAATAACTTTACTAAAGATTATTATGAGATTACAGTGGTTATTTATTTAATATTGTGTAATGTGCGCGCATTTTTTTCCGTATACAGTTTTTTTTAATTCGGTCAAGCAATGTTATATTGGCTTTTTTCTTGTATATTTGTATTTTGCAATGGAGTTGCGCAATTGGCGGCATTTTAAATAACATGAAAGTTTCAATTCGGTAAAATACGGATAAAAATGCATTTGCTTCGTATTCAATCAAATATGATGACAAAATAAGGTACAGAAGATTTATACGTTTTTTCTTCTACATATTTTTCTTTGAACCATTTACATACTGACAGAACTGCTAACAAAAAGAAAAAATAAACGCTTTTGCCTCTTCTTTGCATTATAGAACCATGTGCGAATATATGTATGCAATATTGATTCTTATTCCGATTGAGATAAAGCAGTAAATACCGTCGAATATTGTATTCATACATTTAGTTACAACTACACACTTTATTCTCTTTGAGAATATGTATGCAATATTGACTCTTATTAATATTGAAATAAAGCGGACAATCCTGTCAAATATTGTATACATATATTCAGTCTTATTTACAAAGGATATTCGCTTGAGCTCGATCTCAATAATGTATGGAAGTTTTATAAATGTATGATATTCTATCTTTATCTTGTCATATCTCCATCTCTTTTTTTTTGCATGGAAGTTCTTTCACCTTTTGGATCAATGAACAACCAATGAACCAATGCTTCTGTGCGTTAAAACGGGACGGATATGCCAATGACGTCTTAAGTTGAGTTTTTTTGTTTGTAATTCGGTTACAAATTAAATTGGTGTATCAAATTTTGTATGTCACTTTTGATAAATATGAGATTGCAAGCAAACTGATTCCAGTCACATTTTTATTTAATAAAAGTATGACAAAAACGGATTGAATTATAAGAAATTATAATTTTTATTATTTTAAAGCATGTATCTGCTTGATGTTTAAATCTAAAGAAAATATAACTAGCAAAAATTCCACGCGGCCCAGGAACCAGGTCCCGTCTGCTGCCTGGTCCGCGTGGATTTTTTCTAGTTATATTTTTTTAGATTATAAGAAGTTTTTATTTTGTGCCTATACTGAAATTGAGTTATTTTTGTTAGGTCCAAGATAATATATTCAAATTCAAGAATTCATATTTATTAGTACCTATCTGTTACTTGGTTTCAGTTTGCTTAAGAAAAAGTCATGTTTCGATTTAGATTTCCCCCACTTTGCGACTGTGTTCAAACAATTCTTTCCCCCACCCTTTCGTTAGTTACCCCCTCGTCCGCCCCAATATACGTTTTTATTTTGTACAAGTTTTGTTTTTTATTTTCTCTCTCCTTTTCTTAAGTTGTTTTTGGAAGCATTGGACATGTTTCGACTGTGCAAGAAATTCAGTATTTTAGTAAAGGACACGAGCTATGAATTTGCTGCTGGATATTTATTTTTGTATAGTAGAGATCATGGTGGAAACAATTTGACACTAAGCCTTAATCACATTGCAATAAGAGCTATAGTTCAAAAACCTATACCCACATGCTTTGTGTAACTCTTAATAAATTTTCAGTACTACTCAGCGGAACTAGATGGCGCTGCTTGTCTCTATATTTTTTTTCATTTAAGGCCGTAATGTGCTTGTTTGCCGCACATAAAAATTAACATTGCTCTTAGTTATAAAACGATACACTTGCTGATAGATTCCGTCATTCGTCTCGTAACCTTTGAAAAGTTTGTTTAAATACGGTCTATGCTATTAGGCAATAGATATGACTTACTTTTTAATTGTCTCAGGCAGATTATCCAAAATATACTGGGCACTCTTTTCTTTAAAGAAATAATACATAATTATCTGTAATGTCATGAGTATGCGAATAAGCACCATGATAATCAAATAACAAAATCATGACGTAACAGAGATATTGATTTGAATGATTCAATTTTTACTTAGAGAGTGACATTACGAGCCCCTCCCCCCGTTCTTTGTCATTTTTGGTTATTTGTTAAAGTAGTTATACATTTTTAAAACTTTTCCCTTACTTTAGCAGAACAAGAGAGTAAAATTGAGAAGCAAAAAAAAAGTTATTTTAAATATTTTTTATCTGATAAAGATTGCCAAAGCGAGATAACCAGGAACACGGACTGGGAAAGGCTGTTACATTAATTGGATATAACGTACCTATAGAGTAAAATTAAAATTTGTCGTAATTACTATTGTAGTCACAGAGATTAGAGAGTTTTAGATATATTTTGTAGATTTAACAGATTATATTTATCATAGATATCGGGTAAGCGGAAGAAAGGACTATAACACCAGGGTTTTATTATGTTTTACAACTCTGCACTTTGAGTTTGATGTACAACAACTCAGTGCTAGTTTTTAAACTCGGTTGTGATATCTATGTAAAGCTATTTAACTATTTACTTAATTCATTTAGACCACGAGGATACAGGCGCTTGTATAACAGATATCATTTAAGTTTATTAGTACTCTATCTGTAAAGAGTTTTCGTAGTACAATGTGATTACTAGATGGCGCTGTAAATGATTTAAAGTTTCACGAAAAGCGCATACTTAAAATATTATTTTAGAAAATAGGCATGCACTGTATAACATACTGACGTTTGTATAACAGCATGATATAAGTCGCTTATTGCGCAGAAGTAAAAATTAAGATGTGTTGGAGGGGAAACAGAGGTGCGCGGGCGGGCGTGCGTTGCGCCGATTGTCTCTCCAGTCGTACCTATGCGCAGCTATCCCTGACGCGTTTTGTTCAGCGCTAGAATTACGTGTATATAAGAGAACTTCAAAATTTGAAACCGTTACAATACGACTAAAAGTCCGAATGTAGGATTTTGAGTACTTACGTAATTTGAAGAGCTTCTGTTTGACCACAAAATAAGTAGTCTATTAATATCCCAACCATAGAACACAGAAAGTGGTTAGAAGGGCCTTGTGGGCGGGGCAGGCGTGCCACAGTTATGTGTGAGCAAACGCTCATAACTTGACCAAAACTTGTTTCGATTGTTTGATGTCGCGTCAATTGATTGGCTATTATCTATTAGGTGAATGTAGTGGGGACGAGCAGGCCTTCTAACCTCTTTGTCCCAACGTGTTCTGTTGTCCTAACAGATGAGGTTTCCTTGTGGACGCAATAGGAAAAACGGGTTATGATTTTGACGCACCTGCCAGGCCTTGTGCAAGTTGGTGTGTGCTAATGACTATAGAAGCAGCCGGAACTAAAGGCTTAACATGCCATCTAAACCAAGGACGATGTCCCATCGCATCTTCGAGAAGTCTATACAACTTTATTTTAATATCTGATGCACTAAAATCGCTCTTTAGTATACCCATGTTAAATACCAAGTATGTTTTTTAAACTAAAATCATACATCCATTATTATCTAAAGTATATTCTAAAATGAAAAACTCAGGACGGAGAGTTGTATTACAGAATATGCCCATGTACTGTACCCCTAGCACGAACCATTATTGAATTTGAATAGTTTGAGAGTGCTAAATGTCAATGTCAAATTTTGTATGGAAACTTGAACAGAAGCGCCACAAAGTACGTAACGAGAACTAAAAATCAGTACAGTTTTGACAGTGACATTTCAGACTCGCAAACATTACAAACTCAATATTGGTTCATGCTAAGGGTACTGAAATAAAAGAGTATAACATAACCATTCCACTCGATTTTACTCATTAAAATTCAAACTTATATAGTTAAGTCTATAATTCTTTGATAACTCAAAGAGAAACCCAACAATATTATCAGTGCAATAATTTAATAAGGAAAAAAGTACCTTACACAAGTAATATAGGATATTATATTTGAATGATTAGCATTAAGGTATTTTGCTGATCACGGTATTTTTAAGAAAATTTTAGAATTAAACAGTCTTGAAAGTCTGGCATTGAAGTCTATTAAATTTACATGTGTAAAATTAGGCATAAAATGCATTTAATTCATAATTTTGAAAATTTAATTTTACACAGTTCTAAAAGACCATTCATAAAAGTACTTTTATCTTGACTCATAACTTAGTTCTTATTAACATAGACTTTGTAGTTCAGTATTCTCTATTGATCTAAAATAAAAAATAGAGTACCTACTAGGTACATGTAATTGATGATTTTGATAGTTCATAAGTCTTTCCATTTTCTCTATTTATGAAATTAATAGTATTCTGTCTTAACAATAAAAAAAAAGATAAATTTAACGATTGATAAAAAGAAATTATAAATTAGTTTTAGCGCTGTCAGGATTTTAAGAGACATGAATATTTATTTTCGTTATCTCGGAGAAGTGCAGAGTGAATATCTCGAAAGTGTAAATAAGATGTGCTAGCTACGTGTAGTGTAACCCAAAGACAAAGACATTAATGTTAACATTTGAGATTGTTCCAAACAAATTATATTCCTGAATAAAGTGATACACAAATTTAATTGTTTTATTTCATTGAAAACTTATGTTAGTTCTTTTGTTATATATTATTTTACTAAAGAGTTACTTGTTTCTATTATAAAATGATAGAATATAACATGGTAATATTTTACAAATATTACATACATTAACATAACAATAAAAAATATTGTGTTGTGATTTGAAAATTACTACAGAAATACGAATATCCCATGAAGCTTGCCTGGCCTTTTAGTAACTTCCCTGTTTTTAGGGCAGAGTATCACTGATTTAGATAACTTTAGAAAAAAAAATGCTTCAAATATAAATTAATTTACTAAACAATAAGCACTTGGGAGCTAAAATTTAATAATAACATCACGATTTTATGTTCAATCGTCCTCTACAATCTCCACTTCGTCACCTTCTTCCTTTTTCTTGTTTGCACCAGATTTCCTTACCGATGCCACCTGTTTATACTGTTCAAAAGCTTCACCTAATGGCTCCACAAAACGATCAAACTCAATGTCCCTCATAGCATCTAACACATCCTGGCCAGTGAGAGCTTTTCTTTTCTTATTTTTCACTATATTTGTTGCAGCAGAGGTAACGTATAAAACGAAAACTGAGGCAGCCTTTGCAAGACCTGTTCGCGCTTCTTTTGATATTGAAACTCCTTCGGGTAAGGCTTCTTTTACTATTCTGGTGACAACAGTCATTGGAAGATTGAGATCTTCAAGCTTTTCTGCCATTTTTGTGTATTTAGATTAGAAATTGTTTAATTTGTGCCGGCTATGCAGCAAGCGCGCGTAAATATTTTGCAATTTGACATTGACAGATGATGTTTGACATGTTGAGTAATACAGTGTGACCAAATCACATTTTCCTAAAATACCCAAACATCACAAAAACATTGAAATGTGCCATTTGTTTACTGAGCAGATAAGTTCTAAGTAGCTTATTTACAACTTTACTCAGCGATTATGAAATAGGCCCTTGATCAACTTTGTGTTTACTTTGATTGATTAAAATAAGACATGCGTCGGTATGCTGATGCATACATTGATAGTGAAATAAAAATATAATGCGCCCTGAAAATTTTTCGAAGATACTTCTTTGTAATTCACTCAAAATGGTATGCATGTAGGTACAGTTTGTCTATAAAGTCGTGATATGAATGTTTGAGAAACTAACATTATTCATGTGCCTGGCAACACCAAACTTATGTACCTACATCAGCTGTCATCGAGTTTCAGTTGTGTAACAGTTTTCCTTTTGTATTTTTTATTGTTTGCATTAAACTGTAATAAATTAAGACGAAACTACGCAGAAAGGTATAAAAATGAGTAAAGTAAATCGGAGTGGCACGCGGGAAGTGATTTTTAAAGTTTTCCAGCGATGTTTCGAAGACTACCAAGCTGGACGAATTTTGTGGGATTGGGACGATGTTTATGGGCGAACAGCATCTATATGGGTATGTAATCGTGTAACTATTTGTTTGTAATCTGCCTGAAGTTACAAATTTACTCAATTTACGATTTTGAAACCAAAAAAAGGCATTCAGGCATTCAAAAGGCGGTCAGGTTTTTTACCAATTTTGAATTAATTGCTTCATGTCAATAAGTTATTGTTTCTATTCTGTTACATATTTTTTTACTTTTTTTCAGGAAAATCAGAGAGTCGGAGAGTCAACGCAGGTTTTAAGAATGATGGAAAGTTTGAAACTCCTGGGAAAACAGGCAAGGCCGACCAAAGAAAGAAATGGTCACATAAAGAACCATAGCCAGATGCTTTTAATGAAGATACCTATTACTAATTTTACTAACTGCACATTTACAAATTGTTTCTCTAAATAAAATTTTTATATACTATAAAATGATTTTAAGTATTATTTTCTTAACAAGTGTGTTAAAAAACGTCGTATGATGATACTTGTGTGTATTGATTACCTAACGGCTCTAGTCTCAATGGCACCTCAGCGGTAATCACCAACATTATACACTTTTACACTATAAAGTACTCATCATCATCATCATCATCAGCCTATTAATGTCCCCACTGCTGGGGCACCGGCCATCCCCATGGATGGGTTAGGGAGATTGGGCCATGACCCACCACGCGGGCCCAGTGCGGGTTAGTGGGTGCTAACGACTGCAGATGCAGCCGGGACCAACGGCTTAACGTGCCTTCCGAACCACTGCGAAAGTTGCTCAACTTCAACGACCGCAGCCGAACGCGCTAGCCACTGGCGCCATCGAGCTCCTCTATAAAGTACTATTTTATCTATAATAATTTTATTCTGATTCAATTAAATATGCTTGGCTAAACTTTTTATAAGCATAGGTACCTACTATATATAAAACAGAAACAAAATACGACTGTATAGTGTGTCTTATTAATTACCTATTTTACTTGAATGAACTACTAGTATCAAAATCATTTTGGTCCGACTGTATAGGGTTGCTACATGCATACTAGTGGCGCCATCATTTAATGTCACGACTTTATAGACAAACTGTAACATCAGGTTGAATATGGCTTGTTGAATTTCAACAGAATGGGGTAGGTAGAGAAACCACATGATAAGTAGATACTAGAGACTACAACTTTCGTATTAGATAAAAAAATGCACGTATATACTTTATTGCACAACAATATTACAAATAGAACTCAAAATACAGTTCCACAAAGGACGGTCTTACCGCTAATCTGCTATTAATTTCTTCCAGTCAACCAAATGAGCTGGAAATAATAGTAATCAATAAGAGAGGTAGTGCAGAAAACAAGACAAAAATTTATATTTTTTTATTTTTTTTATCTTATATATTCATATAAATTGTAGTCTTAGGTAAGGAACTTCGTTATTCTGAACATTTCTAGTTATTGTCTACAATGTAGACTCAGTTCCATGTCTTTGCAAGAATAAGCATTTACGTTGTTCCGTAGCGTAACAGATTTTTATTAAGACAACACATATTGGAAGATTGTATTTTATTTCATTTTTTAATTTATGTTGGGGTAGGTGACAAACCGTCTTTTCATTCTGAGCCTACCACTGTGCCTTGTGTGTTGGTACGACTTTACGGCCGACGCCAGCACCAGTGAGTGAGTAGTTCACTTCGAGTCCCCGACGTGTAAGCAGCTCTCAACAGCTCTAAAAGAATTTCCGTTACATCAAGTAAGAGTACCCATTTTCTCTGGAAGATATCGTGAACCTTCTGACCTGTGGACTCCTATGTGCGATATATTGCCGGCAATAGTTTCCCAAGAGCGTTGACGAACCCCGTTCTGAAGCCTAGCCCTAGGTACCCGTGGCGGTGTAAGGAGCGTTTGCGGTAAGTCGCCGAACCCCGGCCTTTATCATACATACATTATTATTTCTTATTATTAAAAATATACAAAATACCTACAAAAATAATGATGTTCGAAAATAGTACTAAAAAGAATTAAACATAGTACTGAATCTGGTCACACTAGAGGACTAGGAATTTCCTTACATACAGCCTTCATTTCATTATTTTTGTAAGAAAATCTCATCCAAGTGTTTTTATTGAATTAGTTTTGATAAGAATTATGTTTATATTTTTATTTAATACTGATAGATTTTTATATCTCCAGACAATTTTGGCAGAAATATGCTATAGGTATACCCGAAAATCTGGTGAAGTTGCCCGGCTATCCGGGCAATAACATAGTGAAAAATGCTGGTTCTTATCCAGCCTGATAGCTTGGCCGAGTTCAATTTGTTCAAGACAGTTCTAAAATATTTTCGTAAGATACCTATATATTTTCGTTATTCATTCTAATGAAAAATGATATTATTAAGCAGTCCATGTTTCGAGCTGAACATAGCATAGCTAGGAAGACATGGGTAAAATTTCCATTGTCTGTTCTGGAATTTTCCTCTACGTTATGTATGTATAAATTATCATTTTATGGCTTTAGTGGTACTACAGTGATGTTGATTCCAGCATGATTCTCTAAACCTAAACTTAAATTTGACAAATGTATCCTTGTCATTCTCTATACAGAAAGAAAAGGTGAGACTGATGTTAAATTAAGTTTTAAGTTTAGAGAATCACGCCAGAATCGATTCCATTATCTACTTCATTAATGTGGTTCTCTAGCTACCCCTGCGGCTATTCATTGGGAGTGGTGGTTGTTGATGAAAGCGAGTATAAGTTTGTGACTTCAGTCCTTAATCAGTAGCGGATTTACCCGAAGACTTTTTAAAGAAATTGGATTGCGAAGAATTTATTAATGATTTTGTTGCACTAAAGTGCAATGCACATTGTATATATCTGATCTTGTACTCTTAACCTGTACTTATATAAATAAAACCTAAAACCGTTTAAATGTTTTATTTAAATGTGCATGTGCATGTTATTCCCGAAACCTCGTATAATATGAGAAATAGTTAGTTTTACACACCCATACTTGCGATAACAAGTAGCTCCATACAAATTATTGGTGTTTAATAAGATATTCAAATGTTTAACTCGCAGTTAAGTGTTAACAGTTGATAATACTCGTGTAAAAGTTATCATAGCCAAGTATGTCAAGTTGGCAGAGCATGTTAGAGTAAATAACTATATAGTTGTAACAACTTATGTACCTTATTCTTGCGAAATAAAACTATTTCTTTTCCTAAATTTCTAAATCTATTAAATAAAACTTGGCAATAAAGTAATTACATTGTGTAGTCTATGGTTAATGCTGAGTAAGGAGCGGCTGATGGCTTGAGGCCTAGGGCGGCCGAGCTTGCAAATCCGCGTCTGTCCTTAATCGAGGTGTACCACAGGGTTGGATAATGGAGCCTATTTTTGTTATTTCTATAGTATAGCGCCGATGTAATTGTTATTGAATTTTGTTCGTAGAGAACTTACTTCATTAGTCCTTGAAATGTATATATTGTCCTTGGGTTTCCTTTTTATATGAAATATTGTACTATTCATACCACAACAACGCAACGAGCTGGTGTCACGACAAGGAAGAAGGGAACGGCATTGAAATTGATTGTGTTAAATAATAAATGTTTTTTTTTTTACACTCACACCAATTAGCCTAGCCCCAAACTAAGCACTATAAGGCTTGTGTTATGGAATGCTAGGGTAACGGATAGAATACATATACTGTACATATATAAGTATATTTATATAAATACATATTAAACATCCATGACTGGAGTACAAATGCTCGTATTCATCACACAAACATCTGCCCCCACCGGGATTCGAACCCGGGACCTCTCGAGTCGGCGACAGCCATGAAACCCGGCGTACAAACCACTCGGCCACGGAGGTGGTCAAACGTTTTGGAACTAATTTCGGGTTTGCGCTCGAATTCGAGTGCCCGTCTGGGGAAATAACCTCCACCTTTTGCAACAATAATTCCAGTTGCAATCGATTAGAATTTGTTTTTAGATTAATTGGGAATTTACTAACCGACTGACAAAAAAGTATTCCTAGCAGAATAATTTCGTTTTTTCACGAATGTTTGCTCTGGTAAAAACTGCAGGCGTTATTCATTCTATACTTGTTATGTTTCTTACATTAGTTTGGCAGTCCTTGAGTTAATGACTGAATGCCTTTCATGGAATGTTTATGCACGATTGCCCCTCAAGCGGAGCACTCGGAACTAAGTAAGATACCATGTGTTTACCAGTGTGCACTGTTGTAGCATTGCGCAAACTCGATTCGAGTCCCTCCACGCCATTTTGCCTGCGTACTTTGATTGTTTGCTAGTAAACCCAGTGCGGCACCGGCTACATTCGAGGTGGGACGTTTTGATCCAGTCCTCTT